TATAACTACGTTATGCCTGTGATTTACAATGATCAAGTCATTCCCTTTTCACAAAAAGTTAAGAATCATGGACTATATCACTATTGATTCCTCAGCAGTAAGTCAGCAGTAAAGTTTATTCCAACTTGAGAAAATTATATAGACTTAAAATTTCTTACCACGTTATACTAAAAAACTTTTAGTTCAATCAAATAATCAAAATTATACTACCACATTTCGATTCCGCTGATATGTTTTACTTAGATGCAAACACTGATGTTCTTAGGAAATTGAATCGTCTTCATAATCAATGTATTCGCTTCATTTATGGTGTTCGGAATTTGACCATATTTCTTCATATCGCTCTCAACTAAACTGGTAGAATATCTAATCTATCTCCCAACGGAGGAATCTTCGAATACTCTGTACCTGTATCTGAAATCTAAATTTCAGTACCTGGGTACCTCTCATTGCTGCAATTTTCGATCTGCTGGTAATCTTACTTTACTTATTATTTCTCACCGTACTAGTTTCTCTCTAAATCCTTCGCTGTTACAGCTGCTACTCTGGAACGCCCTTCCTAGTGAAATTCAATATCATCGAATAAATTTACCTTTTAAGCTAACGTTAAGAAACATTTTAGGTTGTCTCATGATCAGTAGTATGATAACGTTTTAACATATATTACAATTTTATGTACAAATATATATACATCGTGTCGTTACAACCGCGACAATAAATGAACACACGTCTAACGCTACATGCCAATAATATAAAAAAAACTATATGCGTTAAAAAAATCCATAATTAAAAAAATATTTTTCAAATAAACTAATTAAATAAAAAAGAAACAAAATTTGAAACATCCTATACAACTGCAACTGACTGATTCATACATTCAGAAACTTTTCATTCGTTGCGACAGCGACGCATTACATATCTCTCCTACTAACAGTATGTTTAATCTCTTTTTAATTCCTTCAACCCATTCATATGCTTTGTGACCTTTAAAAATGAAATTTACGTTACAGTTTTATACGTAGGAGTGTTCAAAAATTGGTTGTTTAAAAAATTTAAAAACTCAGTAAATATTGATGTTTAAAGAATGTAAATGTTTAATTTAAAAAGTTATCCTCTATATGTGTGTTCATTTATTGTCGCGATTGTAACGACACGCTGTATATTTTATTTATCTATTTTATTTTTATTGATTTAAATATATATGTATATCATATATACTTTTGTATGTGTTTAATAATTGTTATCATAATGTATGTATACATATTATAAAATATATTTATCTTATATAGCTAGCACCTACACTTCTCTCTCACTGACTTTCCGGTTGGCCGGTAGAAAATGCCTTATGGCATTAAGCCCGCCGTCTGTACCAGTTAGTGCAATAAAGTGTGCGAATAAATAAATAAATACATAAATATATAAATAAATAAATGTATGAATTAATTAATTAATAAATATCTATCATCTTAGCAAAAAAAGTAATAAAAGAAAAAGTCTCAAGAAAACGGCGTGAAATGTATGTAATAAATATATAGCTAAAGAGTTTATAAACACCGCAGTTACATATTTTTTTATCATGGCTTTAGGCTTTTGAGTAAGACAGAAGTCAGTAATTTTAAATTTTCACCCAACAAAACTTTTTGGTTTTATGAAACCCATTTCATAGATGAAGGCGATACAATCCAAACGTCCGATTGACTAAATTTCTTTTTCATCGCAAACCAGTCCCCGTTTGTTAAGACAAAAGTTGTTTTCACCGAAATATCATCGTTTCACTGATCAGGTTATTCTGTTTTCATCTATCATGAGAGAGGAAAATAGATGAACCACATATGCGTCATATTCTACGCCTAATAGCCAAAACGGTGCATTTTAGTATTTAAATTCTTAACTAAAACGCACGCCAAAAATACTACAGAAAAAATAAGCATATGAATTTTTTGTATCCAATTATTTCACTTAATGGTGATTGAACAAATTCTTATGACATAAAAAAACCGACTATATGCGAGTCGGACTTGCGCACGAAGGGTTCCGCACTATCCACAAAAACGGCAAAAAATCATGTTTCACCTGCCTATCAATCATGGTTCAAGTGATACAGTCTTGTGACAGATAGACAGACAGACAGATAGACAGACAGACAGATATACAGACAGATAGATAGACAGACAGACAGATAGACAGACAGACAGATAGACAGACAGACAGACATATAGACAGACAAACAGACAAATAGACAGACAGATAGACATATAGACAGACAAACAGACAAATAGACAGACAGATAGACATATAGACAGACAAACAGACAAATAGACAGACAGACAGACAGACAACACAAACAGACAAACAGACAGAATGACAGGCAAATAGACAGACAGACAGACAGACAATGGAGTCTTATTAATAGGGTCCCGTTTTACCATTTGGGTACAGAACCCTAAAAACTATGAAGGTAACGGTTTATTTCACACTACCGAATGGAAATCCGTGTTAACACGGACAAGTAGACTGTTAGACGGCGGATCTTAAAAAAAAGAAACACATTTTCTCGAACTAATACATTCGCAAAGTAACTTAGTAAACTGGTTGTTCTGACATTTCCAGAGATAATGCTCACAGTTTCATCTGTTTTAAGCTTTTGTGTATAAGTAAGATCACTATCACTTAACGTTAATTAATTGAAAACTACGTAACTATGAGATATTTCTGGCACTATGTTGTATACTGAACCTAACTGTTCTTTAAAACCAATTTGTATTCTACAGTACAATTTCACGATTGTGTCGTACTATCAAAAAATGTATAAAAAATGTACGTTTAAAAAATGTACGACTACGTTTGCTCTCATTTATGTTATTGATTATATACTTGAACACATGTCAATAAGCGGAAATAATATTAATAGCGAAAAGTAAACGGATTTTTGTTTTATTTCATGAACGGCCGTTATGACATAAATGAATATGTAATTTAGGATATTATACGCCTATGAAATATTACAGTAACTTTATAGCTAAACATTGAGGCACTTTTTAGGCTAACTCACCTGACGTGTACTAGATAATCAACTTAGCTCTCAAACCAGTTAGGGAAAAAAATATGATTATAATAGGCGTTAAAGCCTACGTATTAGTACATAAACATTGGGAATTAGGAGTTAGCTCAAATTAATATAAAGAATAGATATTTATTCTTATCAGTAGCGTCTGAAATCATGACATCAGCAATCAATCAGGAGTGAAACTTTACTTAGCGGTTGTCTAACCTGAATAGAAATTGGACTGGACTATAATAATTTGAATTTAATTTCCTTTCGAAAACCAGTTTAGCATTCACACCAGTTTTTTTGAGTGACAGGGTCTGTAAGCGAATTAAGGTGACAGGGCTTGTCAAGAAAAAGTAGGTTTTGTTACAAAAAAATGTTTTGCTCCCTTAACCGGGTTAACATTATGTTATGAAAATCGTAGATCCGTAATTCAATTACAGAATTAAGGAATTGATTCTAGAAATAATGATACAATTATTTTACTTATTAATTATGACATAAATATTATTGAATAATAATTAATGAAATATGGGGTTTTATGCAAACTTTGGAGCAGCTTCTAAAGGTTTTGTATTTACATTTTAATCACAGTTTAAGTTTCAAAATACTAGATCGTAGTTTGTTTAGAAATTTTGCAACATTTTGGATAAAATGTGAAAGATTATGCAATAAATTATTTTTTCAGGTAGTGTTAGAAATTTTGACAGTTTACGCTTTTACGTAGTTACGTAGTTTTACGTAGTTAATACCTATTATTAAGTACTAACCAACTACCGAAAACTTAATAGAAACTTTTTACTTATCAAGGTCTTAAATAATAATAATTCTTTATTTCAGGCAAAAGCCCATAGTAATACTTGAGTTAAATACAAATTAATAATTGAATCTAAATTATCAAATAAAAGTTAAAGTTTAAATATTTCATAATGTCAATCTAAATTGAATTATTTGTGACATAGCAAGATAAAAAATGATATCATATAAAAAGACAATAATATATAAAACAAATTATAATGACTCAATTCTATTATTATAACTAAATTCAATATATTTACGTATTAATTTCAATATTGTAAAGATGAGAAAACTGAAATTTCGTATACAAAATATTCAAAAGAAAGAAAAATATCAAACAGATTATAATGACTCAATCCAATTTATTCAATTACTATGACTTTAATATATTTACGTATTAATCTAAATATTTTCAAAAATCTAAGTACGTTCAAATAATAACAAACTGAAAATGATGTAAAGATAAGAAAACTGAAAGTTCGTATACAAAATATTCAAAAGAAAGAAAAATATCAAACAGATTATAATAACTCAATTCAATTTATTCAATTACTATGACTTTAATATATTTACGTATTAATCTCAAATATTTTCAAAAAATCTAAGTAGTTACAAATAACTACAAACTGAAAATGATGCAAATATAAGAAACAATGTATATTGGCATCATGATATAATTATATACTTATGAATATAAACTAAGAATTAAATGGAGACTGCGTCAAAATTATTATGCTAAACCATAGAAATATTAAACCATAAAATAAGAATACGTTTTAAAGAAACATTAAATACTGTTGGTGAAATATTCCAATCGAAATTAATTTTAATAATCAAAACCACCATATAACAATTTAAGAAACGTGTTAAATAGTTAGTAATGTCGCTGAAAGTTTTATACGAAGAATCTTTTGCACGTGTACATTAAAAATTACATTAATTAGTTCTGTTTCCGGTCAATTTCCAACGTACGTTTTGTACCCAAAATTTTTTTACCTCTACTAATTTCGTACCTTATCTGCGTTAATGAGAAACTCACTCTTGACCTTTGTCCCGAGCTTGGTATAAAATGGACGAGCATGTTAACACCACGTCTAGAATTTAGAAGGATCTCTTACAGTAAGGCTGTTAGCACTCTGAGCCGGGCACAAACATGTTCCGTTTTTTCACACTCGCTCTGTTCGCGGCCGCGACCGCAGAAGTGATCTTTGAAGGACCCTGTCCTGACGTGACACCAGTCAAAAATTTCGAATTCGAAGCTGTGAGTATTATTAAATTTCTGTGCGAGTTTATAATTCGGACCGAGACCTCGAAACGTTTTAAGTTCAAAGGGAAAATAGCATAGTGTTATTAATTTCTTTTCACAAAATTAATTTGGAAATTTGAATTCCAAAAGGTTCCTTTAAAGCTTACAGTAAAGTAGTATAAAAAAGGCATAATTTCACACTCTCGGCACTCAAGACAATTAATTTGTCCCGCGGATTCAAATTAAGTGAGATTTTTTTGTATAGTATAAAATTCCTTTAACGAAAGTAATTTTAATAGTTAAAAAAATAATACTTTGGCAGGCTTCACCCCAGAGCATAAGCTACAGGTTTAGTACGTAGGTGGGAAGGCAAAACAAATCCGAGGCTTTTAAAGTTCATCCACCTAAGCAGAGCACTGGCTACATAACATAGATGAGGCGTTAGCAATTAAATCTGTTGTGCCGTCATTGTCGAACCGTTAAGCTACCCAAGCTTAGTAAATAAAACTATGTTTACGGATACGTCTCGTTTATTTTTAGTTCTAATTCCTGTTTCGAACCCTTTACAGCGTTCATGGTCACGGGACAGATTGAGGCGTTGGACGTCTTAGTGTCTTTGGATTGTTAGACCGGCTCCCACCAGTTTTTAATTATTAAATTTTTGTGTCGATCTGGCACATGGTTATTTTATCTGGTCTTGCAGTAGTGGTTCGTTTGAGCCTAGATTTAATTTTACTTATTCAGTAATGTGTAATCGCGTAAATACAAGAAAATGTTATGCCCTAGCTTAGCTACATTTAAAGTTAATAATGGTAAACAATTTCTTATTCACGCAGTATCAAGGAACCTGGTATGAAATCGCTAGATACCCTAACGCTGGAGAGGAAGGCGGCAAGGGCAAGTGCACCACCGCTGAATACAGCGTTGACGGTGACAAGGGCAAAGTGAAGAACACTCACGTTTACAACGGCGTCAAGTATTACATCGAGGGTGACCTTACCCTCGTGGCACCCTCAAAAGTGATGCTCACATACACATTCGGAGGTAGATTTAAATAATAATTAATTATCAATTAACTTAAGTTAGACATTATCCATTTGAAAATATTAAGAATAATAATAAATTAGCGAATAATTTCAATTGTTAATACTGGAAACTACTAAACCTACTCTGTTCATTGGTAATCGTCATTTTTTTTTACTTTTTATCGTAGGTGTATCCAAGAACTCTTATTTGACGGTCCTCGACACTGATTACAAGAGCTACGCTATCGGCTACAGCTGCAAATACTTCAAGGATGGCAACAAACACCAAGGTAAGCTTTTGAGTTCAAGTTTATACGTCTTAAAATGTGATTTACAAATGGGGTGATCCTTGAGTTTTACTTTTTATGAAATCATACGCGCCTTTGATTTGTAGCTTTGTTGTTACTGTCATTTAAGTGAATTTATAAAATTTTTCTTCTATGCAGAAAGGTTTTAAAAGGTAACAAATGTGTTTTCAGTGTTTTCTTGGATCAAGTCCAGGAGCAAGAAATTGGACTGTGAAGCTAAGTACAAGGTTGATGCTTTCTTGAGGACTTCAAAGATTCTGGACTCTGCCAAATATATCCAGAACGATCATTCTGAGGATGCTTGCAAGTCCTCAGTCACCAAAGCTATTACTGAGTTCCTTAAGTGAATAGTAACACGTAATAGTTAGGTAAATATATTGCTAGTAAAGTAATCAGTAGCTCACGTTTTTTTAATTGTCTGTATAAATGTATACATTCATTCATCAAGATATTTGTGTCAATAGTTTTAATATATTTTTCAGATAATAAATAAATCAGTAATTAATAACTAATGTTTATTTATTATTATTTTTTAAAAAAATATTTATTCCTTGCCTATCTATTTTATCAGATTATTTAAATATCCATCATCTTGTAGAATCCCAGCTATGTCTACTATAAAGAAAGTTACAATAAGGTAACAGTAAAGTAAACGGTAAAGTAACATCCCTATACATGTCCAACTGCTGGGCTTTGCCCTCCTCTGTATAGAGGGTATTAAGGGATAGTCCACCACGTGACCCCACTGCGGATTGGCGGACTTCACATATCTTCAAAATATATATTTTTTGTCTTATTTTTTCGAAAATATACAAGTTTCCTAACGATGATTTCCTTCACTGCTGAACACGTGATAAGTCAGCACTTAAATTGGTGCCGGTAACGGGGATCGAACTCGGGTTGCTCTAGTATATTTAATTAAAAGCGAGCGCCCGGGCGATGAGCTATCACGGCTCTACATCTCTACTGAAGCTAAGTGAATATGGACATTATTTAGATTCATAAACTCATAATTAATCTGTAATTCAGAGTATAAAAACACTCCATTATGTATTTTAATCACAATTTAATCTGGTGAATTATTGTGAAATAGAATCATATACAAAACAGAAAGAATCTAACCAAAGTTAAGCGTAACGATAATATATAATGGTATAATGGAATGTGCAATCTCAGACAAGATAATTGAAAAGGACATATTTAATAACTAGAATTTATAATATTTTTTCTACTCCATACGCAAAAAAGTAGTACGAGACACATATTTGTATATTGTTATTAAATGGGACAGGCAAGCATTAAAAAACAAGGAAACTGTACAGGAACATAATGAATTTTTATTTACTCTTCATATCGATAATTTCATGGTCGCTGCGCATATTTTCTAATAAATTTATTGGAAATTGAAAATTTTATTCTAAAAACTATTCCAATTATTCCTCGCTACGTTACAGGTTTAAACGTCTGTTGCTGCATGCATAATTTTTGATCATACGCTCAAGGTGAAATATTTCTAAATCCTAGTTCTAAAATATAAAGAATTGTAATTTTAGCTTTGTATAATAATATAAATGATAACAGTTGTTATCATTATTATAAACTTTTTAAATAAGAAATGAATACAAACTGTATCATGGGGTGTTCACAGTATATAGTAATGACAGTAGAACGCCAATTCATATGTAATAATGATACTGGAGTAAATATGTAAAATTGATTCTAGAATCTATTAGAATTACAATCGTTGTCTAATATGCATGACGCTTAGTATATTCCGGTTTCAATAAACAAAGCAAAACGCAAATGAAACTGTTGTTTTATGACTTTTGATTGGACGCAGCGACATCCAGTGGCTCCGGTCTTATAAAAACCCGACTTTGGCCTATAACTCGTTAGAGGAATTTATGAATGTTATTATATATTGAGATCGACCGACTGCGCAACTAGCTTTTTACAGCCTATCTCTACGGATTCAGCGCCGATTACCGATTTAAATATCTTTATGTAGTACCGTGTCCGGGGAAGTACACAGAAGACCGCTGTAAAGTACAAGTGTTATACTTCTACGTTTCGTATGGTAAGTCCTCACTTACCATACGAAACTGGGGCCCACTTAATTAAAAGATGGCAACGCATCAGCAACTCTACGGGTTTTGCAAATGTCCATGGGTGAGGATTATCACTTAACATCAGGTGAACCATCAGCTCACTTGGCACCTTCTCACATAAAAAATAAAGATTTAGTTCCAGTTTATAATTTGAAAAAAAAAAAAAAAAAGAATATAAATAGGTTACAATATAATGCAATGGGTACGGGAAATCATAGCCATAACTCCAAGTTATGGCTATAGTTTCCCATAGTAAAAGGTGACTATTTATGTCAATTGGAATATGATTTACTATGTTTATTATCAGTGTATTGACTACTTAAACAGTACAATAAAATAGATAAAAAATACACGATATAATTTTATTGCATGTTAAATATATACACAACAAGCTTTTGTATAAACAATACATATATATTTTTGGTGGTAGTTTCACTGAAGAGACAACTTTTTCTTAATAAAATTAATTCTGTATTTACAGGTCTTGATGTTTAAAAACACGCACTTTTGATATAAGTTAAAATGAACGTAGGAAATTAATTAATTTGATTTTAAATATTTATAATTTTTTTACATATCATTATTTATGTCTAGGATTTAATTTAAAAAATGGATACACTTAAAAAAGCCTCCCTGTATATATGAAGATAAATAAAATTAAAGTGTCTGTTTGTAATATTAAAATAACCGCTTTTTACCAAATGCATTATGTATGTATATACTAGTACATATACCAAAATGACATTTTTTACAATTATTATCTGTCTGAAGAAAATATACGTTATGACTTCTGGTATTACTCCAACGGCCTGTCAACTACCGCGTTCAATGTCAGTGCTTGAGCCGCTATATTTTTGAAAACCCGAAACTGAATTGTAGAAATTAGTACAGACTTAGTAGAACTAATGTATTATTATGTCACATCTGTTTTTTTATCGAAAGACTTACTGAATTCAGTATATACAAGTAATATCTATTATATAAGTGAGGATCATAATCATTATTTCAACCTGTTTATATCAATGGTGAATCAAGGAAATCACCCCGCAGACTGACTGCTACGAAACATCCCGAACATTTCGTTGCTCAATTTAGTCTCTACTCGACGATAGAGGACCACCCCTCTGGTCGTCCTACACTGCGATAGCCAATCCCAGGCTGACAATTGAGAACCTTTCTTCCACCATTGAAGTGGAACTGATATCTAATGTTGGTTATCTGTTGTACTTCATCACAATCTTCTGTGCTACCTAAGATGCTGCTTCTCTGCGGCGTAGGCCTGTCCTAATCCTTTCCATAAATTTCTTTCTCGTGTCATCAGCATCCTATGAGATCCACATGTATGCCTGAAAATGTCTCTCCATCTTTTACTTAGTATAACTATTCTTCTTTTTCTGTGCATTGGTGCCCATTCTGTTAAACGCGTTGTTCTTCTATTGCTAATCATTCTAAATATTGGTCCTGGCCAGTGCCTGCCCATTTACGTATTCTATTTTTTAAGTACATCTATTAATTTTGTTCTACCTCTGATATTGCCGTTGCTATTTTTTTTATATGAAAAGTTGCCAAACGAGCAGATGATTCACCTGATGATAAGTGTATACCGCCACCCATGGGCTACATCCGCTACAGCCGAGGGTATAGAGATGCGTTGACAATCTTTTTGGAAATTGGGCTCTGTCTTCTGTGAGGTCGTGATACTTACCCGGACGAGCCTGCCCATTCGTGCAACAGCCGAGGCTGCTGCGTGGCCCTACCACCGAAACTTTTTTCATTTAGTTATTTATAGTACCTGTCCCAGATATATTTGCATATTTACTTACATATTATTTTTATTTCTACGTTATATGTCACAATAAAGTTTTCGGAACTGCCCACTTACATAAACAATATTTAAAAAGTAATTACAACAATTGAAAATGGAACTCTTTGTCTGTAGAATGCAGTTTGTTTCATCCTACTGTCAATTGTTTCTACACTGTGGTGCTAAATATTCCGTGTCTACATTTACATGAAATGACAGTCCAGCAGATTCTTGTTCGGTTTCAATCTGCTTTTGGTGATGAAACACCATGCCAGACGACTGTTTATCGCTTCGAGACATCATATTCCAACATAAGAAACTTATATAGTATAAGGTACTCACCAAGACGAATGAAACGAGCAGAAACTCGATGGGTAGCGTCATTTCTTTACAGAATTCCTATGACCAGCTCCATCATCAGACCCTGGATATCATTGAAAGACAAACTACGCGTCAATACAATTCGAATGTGCCCAAACTCGATGGGGTATTGTTGCATTACAGAATCCCTATGACCACCTTCCAGCTATCATACATCGAAAAAAAAAAATATACCGATCGAATTGATAACCTCCACCTATTGAAATCGGTTAAAAAGTAAAGATATAGCTCACAAGTTTAACAAGCTGAAGTGACGATGGGCCTGCCTCTTAGAACCGATAACCGATGAGGAAGCAAAATTGAGCGGCATTCTCATAGTGGCCATTGTAGTGTAGGACGACCCCCCCACTAGACGGAGTGAGACGCCCTATGCAAATGTGCGGGAAACGGCTCTGGATCGTGCTTCGTGGCAATCTGTGGGGGAAGCCTATGTTCAACAGTGGACTCAATGAACAAAGGGCTGAAATGTTTTTTATGTTTGTTATGTTCGTAATACTAAATTAAATAAGATCAAGTAAAATTATCATGATTATGGAGAAAAGTTTTGTTACAAAACATCGTTCATTCTAATAATTTTATCGTCATTTTAGAGATTTTATCATCATCATCATCATCATCAGCCAAAACACGTCCACTGTTGAACATAGGCCTCCCCCTTAGAACGCCACAAGTAACGAAGAGGTATTTAACGGTCAACTTAACTATATTATTTAACGGATCTCGGTTTATCTATAGTTAAAAACAAGAAAAAATCTTTTAGACCTCAGTTTGAATTTATTTATACACTTCAAAGGCGTCAATCTTATAATGTTATTCCTTTTATAATTTTTTCTATCAGCTTTCGATGTTGCGAAATGGTTGAAACCCGACCAAATTCATATTACATTCATTATATTACGTCTTAATATAGATAAGCCTTATTGAAAAAGCTTTATTGAAATGTTTAATTCATTGAATGATAATTTGGCTTTTAAACTCAATACATATGACTTTTCAAACATTGCTACATGTTTGAGTCAGTTGTTTACAATTTAGGGTATTTTTTAGTTTGGGTTATCACCGTGGCATCGTCCTAGTTGCTATGGTAGCACATGCCTTTTGAGAGTATGTTTATTCCGTTAATATTTATTATTTATGTTTATAATTATGTTTTATTTTACAGTAGCTTAGCTTAAATTCTGTCAATCTAATAAAAAAGGTTGAAATACGTAATTGTGTTTTAGTTTTTTGTATTGCCTTTCGAATAAGCCTATTTTGATCTCAGTATGACAAAACTTTGAGAGATATATCGCGGAAGTGTCAAAAACCCTAGTTTAAAATGTATTTGTACTTTAAAATAGTTGACTTATATTGAAGTCTTTGATTATATACTTGTCTAGATGGAGCAATGTTAACAAATCTAAAATTGCGTGATATATGTTAGTATCGCTCGTGTACTTATTGTAAGCAAACTGACAAGATGTGCAAGCCTGTTCGAAATTATTAAAATAATTTTTCTCCATTATTTAATAAGGTAAAAGTTAAACAAAATAGGTTGAATAAGGTAATTATTTTGTAGATTAGTAGTTTCATTTATTTTATTAACAACAAAAACACAATAAAAATAGTAACTCATGAATCTGATTTAGAAATACAGTTATATCTTATTTGCAAGTTGTTTTCTATTATTATTACCAGTGAATGAAACGAACTAAATGAAATGAAACTAATTTGACGGATTTATCGCGTTTATTTTTAATTTTAATTCTCGACGTTTCGAACCCTTTACAGCGTTCATGGTCACGGGACAGACTGAGGTGTTAGACGTCTGATTGTCATAGTGAACCCGGGCTACCGTCAGTTTTTGAATTATTAATTTTGTGTCCGATCTATGCAGAGGGAGCTGATTGTATCTTGTCTTGCAGTAGTGGTTTGTTTGGGCCTAGATTTAATTTTATTGATGACAGGATCCCAAGCTGATGGTAGTACCCAACCCTCTTCTCTATTGAAATTAGGGTGTTTTTTTTTAATTTCAATAGCCTCGCGAATCATCCTTGGGAGGAATCGGTGTTCTTTTGCAAGAATCTGTGGTCTATCAAACCTAATGTAGTGGTTGGGCCTATTTAAAGTGTGCTCACAAACTGCAGACTTGTTCAATCTATTATGTTTTATGTCAGCTATATGTTCTTTCACGCGGGTTTTTATTACTCTTTTTGTTTGTCCTATGTAAGAGAGCCCACATTCACAGTCAAGTTTGTACACTCCTGGATCTTGCAGAGGGATATTACACTTGACAGATGGTAAAAACTGACTAATCTTCTTCAGTGGCTTGTAGAATGTATTAATTGAAGCCCGCTTTAAGATATAACCAATCTTGTCGGTGACTCCTCTGACGTATGGTAGAACAGCAGATACTCGCTCCACTGTGGCTGGTTTCACTCGGTCACTGTGACGTCGGCGTGGTGCTCGAAGCTTGTTGTCATGCAGAACTTGCTTGACATGTTGAAGCTCAGCCGCCAGGTGTTGTTGTGTTGGTGTCACAGATCCCTTGTGCTCTCTGAAACAAAGATTTACCCACGGTAGCTAACTGGGATGGATGGTGGTGAGAGTCACCGTTTAGGTATCTATTTGTATGGGTTGCCTTCCTATACACAGTGTGACTTACAGTGTTATTTGGATTGCGGATGACCAAAACATCTAAGAAAGCTAAAGAGTTATTATTCTCTAATTCCATAGTGAATTGTATTTTGGAATTTACTGAGTTAAGGTGATTTAGAAATGCATTAACTTTACTTGTTGGTAAAATGGTGAAGGTGTCATCTATATACCTCTTATAAAACCTTGGATAAATGGGAGCTGTTTGAAGGGCCTTCTCCTCAAAGTCTTCCATAAATATGTCAGCGACAATGGGAGATACTGGGCATCCCATTGCTACACCATCTATCTGTGTGTAAAATTCCTCCTTCCAAAGCAAAGTTAAATGTAAAAATTAGATAAAATATGTTTCATAATTAATATTCTGAATTACAATTAATAAGTATGACTATTCATTAAATTCGATTGGAAGATAAGAGATTATCGCAACATAGTCATAACATTACCTATGTTAGCAAAAAATCAAGGGTACCGGGTCTCTTATTTTGTGGGCGATTTGTTTTCGACTGCACTAATAAAATTAATAATTGTTTGAACATTCTGAGAATTTCGATGTTTTGTATAAAAATAAAAACTTTTCAATCTACAATGTAATGCTATACATTTAGAATATCTCAATTGTACACATATAATGTAAATACATTTTTTAGACATACGACACACAAACTTTATTCAAACATAATAAATTCAGTCATTTGTAATTTTTAATTTGTATTAATTTCAATTAAATCTGACCATGTTATAAGAGCTCAGTGTCCGGGCGCTCGCCTTTAATTCAATATACTCGAGCAACTTGAGTTCGATCCCCGGTGCCCGCACCAATGAAGTTTTTAACTTTAAGTGCTGACTTATCACGTGCTCCACGGTAAAGGAAAACATCGTGAGGAAACCTGCATATTTTCGAAATAATAACAAAAATAATATATTTCGAAGATATGCGAAGTCCGTCCCTGATACCCTCTGTATACAGGAGGTCTTTGCCCAGCAGTGGGACATGTATAGGCTGTTACTTTACTTTACTTTAATGGTATAAGAATAATTATGTGATTTCATATCTCAGTTTCTTAGATACAGGCTTACCTAGTGAGGAAATTAATGGACATCATAATCATTAAATGGTTCAATCCCTTGTTAGCATATAACCTTGCATTTGCGTTATTTTTATTTGGCTGTTTTATTATTTTGCAGTCATAAAACCATTTTCATTTTAATTAAAAAAAAAAAAAAACTAGAAAAATGATAGTCGTACTCGAACGCCAATACCTATTATACCGCTTTAATAATATTGATAAATAATCACCACTTATTTTCTCAGGAACCGGTGGAAGTTGAAATTTATACCAGATACTGAGATCTGTAGTCCCTATTCGGTGACTATCAAGGTCCAGAGTCGACACGAAAAAAAAAATATAGGCAAATGTATATTTTCACGAAAACTTGTTAGTACCATCCCTTAATTTTAAACTTTACTTCCTCTCTCCTCCAGGTCTCTTTCTTTCGTATTCGTTTCAAAGAAGTGGATAACATCACAAATAAATCGGTGGTTTTATTCGCCATAGCCCACTGTTTAGAGCAGCGATAGCTTAGTACCTAGAGCCGTGATAGCTCCGCGTCCGGCCGCTAGCTTTAAATTCAATATACCGAACAAACAACCTGAGTTAACATACCGGCACTAGGTATTACTACCAAAAGAATTCACAATCAGTGCGAAGTTTTCAGATATTACCTTTTTTGCCACATTAAAAGAAAGATTTTGAAGAAACTTTTACAGCCTTTACATTTATGTAAATTTTATTTGCGTTCCATTTACATCTATTTAGATTGTTTTAAGAATTACATTTAAAAATGTGTAGTTTTTTTTAAATCTTTCCTTATTATTGCTTGCTATCAATTGGCAAATTAAAATAATGATGTACGAAATAAAAAAAATAAATGAAATGGTTAAACCAGTTATTTTTACATTTTAAGTGTTTATTAATTATCGAAGTTGTTATAGTTATGATATTAGTTAGTTGTACAAGTTTATGGAATAAAAAAATAGTAACACATCAGTATTAAAAGTTTATAGCATATTTTAATTCCATCTTTCAATCCATGTTATCGACATTTTAATACAACATTAGGCACAACTAAACACTGTATTTACAGGGATAAACAGGATATCGTCATATTTACCAGCTACGTTTGTATTGCTTGCCGAGTTTAATCGTTTCATCGTGGTTTTGTTAGTGCCTTTATTTTCCTTTCTATCTTAGTGTCGCAAAATATAATAGGTTCTGGATATGTTAATTCTTACACTGGACGTGCTCAAAGTCTTAAATGAAAGTTGCTTCGGCAGTTACTTGGACTAGATTGAATAGCCAGTTCCAAACGAATTCTACGAGCAGCAGGATCAGCAAATTTGGTTTCGAAAATATTAAAATCATGTAACGAAATTGTTCGTCACATTTTCTGTTATATTATATTCTAAACAAGTTTTTTACTGGTATATGTTTCGAACATTGTGGGCGAATTAAATCAAATTGGAAGATTATACTACCTTAAAATAGTACTACAGAGTGTACTATAAAAAGAAAGCTTTCCGTCACTGTAGGAATTCATCTGCAAATTAAGATAACAATTATTCGATATTCATTGGTGACCTCAGGCCGAATTTAGTATAAAACGGATCTGTGCGCGAAGACATCATTCAGAGTAGGATTGACTTTCGTACAGTAAGCTCATAGCATATCCTGTTTAAATACTTATTTTTTTATACATAATGCTCCGCTTTTTGGTTCTCGCTGGCTTAGCAGCTTCTGCTACATCATCAGGTGGCGTTTTTGAAGATGGACCGTGTCCACCAATCAAAACAAAGGCCAACTTCGACTTCAACGCGGTAAGTGTCAGCATTTTACATCACAGACTTTGCTAAATCTTATCAAAATCTCATTTATTCATATATAATCATTATAGTTCCAAAAAGTAAACAAGTATTTATAGTCATCTTAACGTCATGTCAACCTCAACCAGTTATTTTCCATTTTGATACCAGCGACATCTATGTTAGACAAAAGAAAGTAAAACCTATCATTTTATACAAGGATGGTTTACAACTTGCAATATTTACGTAAACTTCATTTAAAATATAAACACGTCAAAGTAACTAAATAAATTGAAATGTATCAGACACAGCAAAACAAAATCCTTAACAGCTACAATATGATATTTGAGAAATACTACATACTACAAATAATACATAATAATCTTTTCTATGTTTTACTACGATGTAGTAACCTCTTATCGATTTTGGAATCTACAAAAGCTGAGGTCTCAAATGTGAGGTTACGTTGAAGTAATTAATTTACTTCATGGATCAACAACAAAAATTATATTATTTACAGAAATCTGTGAAGTGAAGTATTTCATAGTTCATCATGAGAAACAAATGTAGAAGTATATAATCAGCAATACGATATGATACCCTATCCTTAAATTTCAATTTACTAAATCTGTTATTTTAAAAGAAGGTTCCTTGTTATACCACTTAGGTTTTATAAAATGCAAGAAATTTCTGTAGAAGAAGTTTCCATAATCATAAATTTTTGAAAGTTAGAGTACAAACATTTTATAAGAAACAAAAAATAACGGAAATTGAAGTCTATGTCACTTAATAACAGCCTGACATTCATTAATAATTCAGGTCTAGATAAATAGTCGTATAAGCAAAAACTGGTCGCTCATACAATTAGAAAACATATACAATCTTTAAACGTTTTTTGATGAGGATTTTCGACTAGAATTATTCTTCAAAGCTTTTAGATCTTGAATAATTTTAAGCGAGAATTATAATGAGGATTAAATGAATACATTTTCATAATCGCAAGCAAAATAAAATAAAATACGCTTGATTCGTCGCATATATGAATTGTTTTGCATTAAATTGCCAAAAAATAAAGCTCAGTTCTCAATTAAAGACACAGATAAGAACAGATTTTTTCTACTGAAGTAAGTTTCAACAGAAATTTCTCCCTTAATTCTCTTTTCCTTCTAGTACTCCGGGACGTGGTATGAAATTACGAGGTTCCCTAACATTGGTGAGGAATACGACAAAGGCAAATGCACAACCGCTGAATACTACGTTGACGGTAACAGGGGTAAGGTGAAGAACACCCATGTCGTTGACGGTTTGAAGACATATATCGAGGGTGACCTTACCTTGATTGGACCTGCAAAGATCATGCTCACGTACACCTTCGGAGGTAATTGACTTTTTTTTTATTATAGTGCCCGTAGAGCTCAGTTGTTTAAATCATTGGTAATGGATCAATATATTTTTGAAGATGTTACACATATTTATATATTTTATGTGTTTATGTTTTTTATGTATATTTTTTCTACTTCACACTGATCTTCTTTGAGGTCGCGACACTTCCCCTGACGTACTGCTCATTCGTGCAACTGTTGCCTGGTCCACTACAGTTAAATTAATCTCATTATAAATGTTAAATAATTAATAATAATAATCAAAAGCGACAATATTAATTTAAAAAAAACTCCCTTTACTTTTCAGACGAAGCCAAGAACTCCTATTTGTATGTGTTGGATACTGACTACACCAACTACGCAATCGGCTACAGCTGTAAATATTACAAAAAAGACGGGAAACATCAACGTAATAAATTGATGATTATTTAATTTAACCATTAACTTTGCACATCCTGCCATATTACATGTATTATTGATTTTTTTATGTAACAAAGTGGCAAACGAGCGAGCGGTTCATCTGATATTAAGTTAAACCGCCGCCGGAATGGACATTTGCAACACACGTCGGGTTGCAGATGTGCACCCTAAGTGGGAATGCAATAAAGCGGGCCACGGCTACCTCACTCCGCAGACGAAACGCAGAATTGTAACAATTCTATTTCACGCCGGTCTTCTGTGAGGTCGTGGTACTATTCCGGTATTCCTAAGATTTCTATCAGAACCTTTAAGAATCTGTTGTATACCCATTAATTGGTTTTAGTCTTTAGGGTTCCGTACCCAATAGGTAAAACGCAACCCTATTACTAACACTCCGCTGTCTGTTACCAGGTTGTATCTCATGAACCGTGATAGAGAATTTTCACAGATAATGTATTTATGTGTCCGCTATAACAACAAATAAAAAAACAGAATAAAGAAATGTTTAAGTGGGGCTTCAATGTAATTTACATGAAGATTTTTGCCGCGTTTATAGATAACTAGTTGCTATCCGCGACTACGTCTGCGTAGAATAGGCTGAAGGCGTAACATTCAGAACAGTTATAGCCTGTCTTATTCTGATGTGTAAGCTATATTATTGTAAAGTTTCATTAAAATCCATTCATTAGTATTTGCCTGAAAGAGTAACAAACATCCATCCATACATACAAACTTTCGCCTTTATAATATTAGTAAGGATTATACGGATTCTTTTATGCACATGTCAGACTCATACTTGGCTGATTTTTTATTTGTAACGTACATTTATTGTATTTGAATGTATTTTTATGTTTCTCAGTGTACTCATGGATCAAGTCCAGGGGCAAGACCCTTGACGGTAACTCCAAGATTGCTGTTGAGAAGTTCTTAGCCGACAACTCCAAGATAATTGACAAATCCAAATACATCACAAACGACCACTCTGACCAAACATGCAAAGCTTATACAACTAAGCCTATAATACAGTTCCCCGAAGATCTAAGTAATCCGAACTATATCGACTAAGTTATAAATTTTATGAATTTACTTCAATGAGTTTATTTTACAAGTATGAATGCTAAATAAAAATATAGGATTATATAATTTTGTTTTCATTACACACTCCTTTTTTTAACGCGTTTTAATAGTTGATGAGATTTTTGCAAATTGTTGTTGGAAACCAATATATATGTGTGATAACGTTATGAACAGAAAAGCTAACCAGCAACCATAGAACATCATAAAACTTATTTCATAGTTATATATTTGTCATAATTAAATTATTCTGAAGTCATAACAAATATTTGTATGTATGTTTATTAATTTCTTATAGACATTCTTGTACATTGATTTTAAATCAGGGGATTACCCTCTATGATAGCGACAGTTCTATAAGTTTTCAATTTTAAGAGGCAAAGCTATGTTTTAAATGGTAAGTTAATAAGAACTCTACCGATTAGTACGAAAAAATAAAGCAGCTAGATTGATATTCCTGTAATTCATTGAAGGTAATAAAAACAACTTAGCGATCGCATATTTTCGGCGTTATATTTGATGGGCAAGATATTTTTAGGTGTTAATAAAATGTGTATACATTTATAAATGACATGATATCAGTTTTTTGTGGTGCAAAAAATTCCAAACACAAAAGTGCTGTGTAATTGGTATTATCATATCTACAAAACCTGTTCCCATTTTTTTTTTATTAAAATTAATGGCGTGGTAAAAAATTTGCATGTCTATCTCAAGCACATCATTTATCCAAAAATCAAGATTCAGATTCTTGTAAAAACCTATTTTGTGGTTTTCAAAGGTTGAAACAATACAGCTTGTACAAAAACTTCATTAGAGCTTTTTGGGTGTTTTATAAAGGCGTTTACTCAAAGGAGAATGGCGCGATTGCATGTATGTTGACCCACTGATACCCACTAATAGAGGTGGCATATAATATTTTGGAACTTAGTTATAGTTGTAGAACGGGACAAGAGTAACAAAAAAGCATATGTCTGGTACCTATGTCTATTAGACATACGTACCAGACATATACACTTAGACACTATCTGAAAAAGTGAGACAAAAAAGATAAATATAACACAGAATACAATAATTATTAAGTGTACCAAGAGGTGACTTCTAACAAGGGCGGTCAATTGTCATTTAAATAATATCGCTTCGCATAGCGATACGTTTTTGTACAACTTATTTTGTAACCAATTTTAATATTTTTCTTTCTTTTGACTCCCATAATCTAGACTCAATTCTTTTTATATAAACATCGTATAAACATTAGTTTGTAATTATTTTGTTTGTATGTTTTTGTTAATTTTTAAATTATGGGTCCATTTTTGCCATTCTCATTTATGCCGAGAATGATCGAAGCAGTTCTATAATAATTTAGCTACAAAGATAGTTCTTGTACATAGCATTATAAGGTAGTGTTGATTGTCGCTTTAATACTGTTTTCATGCGATTGCAACTTGGTAACGACTTGTTTTTTAATGTATGCGCACGATATAATTGATAAGATATACAAGCGTACATATTGTTTTTCATCTAGGACATTAATTAAAATTCTTTTCATGTTATTATTATTATTTTTATGTGATTTCACAACGGTTCAACTTTTTGTGGAATTATGTGAATTCATGTCCACAGTATTTAAAAAATGGCAAAATAAAACCAGCTTTGAAAGGCATCGTTTTTTTAATTGTCTATAAAATGCATAACTATATGACATTTCCTTTTTTTTTCTGTGCAATACCCTTTTTTATTTTTACTCCTTATCAAATTTATTACATGTAATTTTCGGTCACGTGTAATTTTCAAAAATACTTTCAAATTTAAAATATTTTTCAAAAATATTTTCAAAAATACTTTCTTATCGTGCATAAGAGTTAACTTTTTAATGTTAAAAATATAATTTTAATCAGCAATTTGCGAACTTAGTTTCAAATCCGTTAAAATAGAACATATTACAATTTCTCTATTTAGCGTTCTTATATCAGATATAAAAGTGCAAAATACAACCGCAATAGGATTTGCTTTCATCTTCTTTTAGAACTCTACGGGAACATCTCATTTCATAATTCAAATTAGTTTTCATAATTATTTGCCTGATTCAAGTTATACCATGGTTTATTTAATTTAATAACTATAGCACCATTATAAAACTGTATACGACCAATGTACAATGTAAAGTGCAAATAGCAAAGCAAAATTTGAGGTGAGTTTTAAAATAAGTACCGCTGTCAAGCAAGAATTTTGAACACGTTACATTGGATGCAAATTATTTCAATTGATTTATGTTCGACATTATCTGTTATTTAATCTTTTTTTATGCATCGTAATTCCACTCAAGTAAGAGACACGATGTAATAAACGTTCCTAAAATAATACATTTTTTTAAATGGTTGTCATTGAAGTGTCTTATTTTATTTGAGACTTGACAACCATGAAACAATATAAGTTTTTGATACTTTAAATTTGAGAAATATGTAATGAAGAATGCAATTTGAGTTTTTGTAATGCTTATTCAAGATGGTTTTTGTTAAATGATGTTAAGAAACTTGAATGTGTATTATTATAGAAGTTTTTTGCCAGGCAGATCAAGATTGTCTGCAATCAACTTATTAGTTTTAGCGAGCCAACTGGTTTAAGGATAGTGTGTTGTGCCGATGATCATTGTCAAAAGATAGAAGGCTTCTCGTAGAACCCTCGTCTAGCTACCGATCTCATAATATATAAACGCAAAAACTCGACCTTTGCTGGTTGAAACTTGAAATTAATTCACTTCCTTTTTATTTTTTTTTATAGTGCTAATCTCTGCACTTAAGATTAAACACTATTTTCTACAAAAAGTTTAATACATTTCTTACCCGCGGCATTATCTTAGAGTTATTTTTAAAAATTCTACCACTTAGTTGATTGAATAGAGAAATAAGTATTTTATGTAAAAGAATTTTTCTCTCAATTCAAAAATCATATTATTTGATCAATACAAGTTGTATTTAAAAAATGAATTTGTTCTATGTCATAAATAATGGCGTGACTTGTGTATAGGTAAGACGAACCTAAACGACGTTTAAACAGATCCTAACATTTTTTTAATATCTTGTCTTTGCAAACGTTTCATTCTATTCTATCTAAGCACTTATAGTGGTTCGGATACGGAAACGAAGACTGGGATTTAGACGCTCTTCCTTTAGACAGTCTTAAGTTTTTAAACGTATACGTTATACAGTTTTACTAAAAATGTTGTTACTTAATGCTTTAAAGAATTTTTAAGGTTATTTACTATTCTAGATAAATTAAAAGTGGGTTCGAAAGCCTGTAGGTACCTACAACTGACTTCAAGATGTTACCTCAGGGCTTTGTTATTGATGAACTGATTTAAAAAAATATTCGGTTTGATTTAGGTTCCAAGTGATTCCATATAAACTTCATTGGTATTGGACCATGGACTACGAAGATACTTCAGGGAAGTCTTTCAAATCAAATGAAAATGAATAGTGAGTGAGATTCTCTAATTCGATTTTTCTTAATATAAAAAATTACTATTATAACTATTTATTTTTTTGTATAATTCCTTGAAAGCGAGGTCGTTATATATATTATCTATAAGAACAAAACTACGGGAATTCGATTAGATCATGGTCATCCATTAACACCATTATTGTTTAACGTAGCAACTTAAAATTTGCAAGAGAGACCCGTGATAAAGGTCTCAATATGTATATGAGACAGAACGTTATACGAGATACACAACGTTAACAGTATGTTTACCTCGGGCAGACATTGCGGTTAGGTGGAGACAACTTTGAGCGTGAAATTGCTAGAAGAGTGCAGCTGGGCTGGGCAGCATTTGGAAATCTGCGTCATATCTTCTCGTCGCCACTGCCAAAATGCCTAAAAAGCAGGGTCTACAATCAGTGCGTCCTGCCAGTCATGATACACGGGGCCGAGACGTGGAACATGACGGTGAGGCTGGCCTACCGATTATATGTCGCTCAGCGAGCTATGGAAAGATCTATGCTCGGTATTTCGCTAAGGGATAAAATCCGAAACGAAATTATTCGGCAGAGGACCAAAGTTGCCGATATAGTCCGTAAGTGTAGCAAGCTGAAGTGGCAGTGGGCTGGCTACATCTGTCGTAGAGCCGATGAGCATTGAAGCAGACGGGTTTTCGAATGGAGACCACGTCTCGGAAAACGTAGTGTCGGACGTCCCCCTGCCAGGTGGACCGATGACCTGAGAAAGGTCGCAGGTAGTGGCTGGGTGAGGAAAGCGGAAGATCGTACTCTGTGACGTACTCTTGGGGAGGCCTATGTCGAGCAGTGGACTGCAAAAAAGGCTGATTGGATTGGATATATACAACTAGTAAGAGTATTTCTTGTGCAGATTGTTATATCAACAGACATGAATGAACATGAACGAACATGAAATAAAATTTTTACTTTTTTGCCAAAAACATGTCTTGAATCGCGGGTTCCAGCATCAGACATCTATCATGACGATGTGTACACAAGTACACTGAGTCTTCAGTGTACTTGTACACACATCAGCAACAAAAACGGTGTAGCGATAGTACTCTCCGAAGAGCTTTGGAATGGTTTTCTTGAACGTCGATGCGATAGGCTGGTCTGGGTAAATGTACTGATTGAGGGTATTAGCACCAGCCTTGTTAATACCTGTGCTCATACACAGGGGCTGTAGCGAGATTGCAAAAGAGGCCTCGTGGGAGCAGATTGAAGAGGTACTACGCGCTATACTGACTAACGAACGGGTAGTCGTTGAGGAAGATCTTAGCGGTCACGTAGGTAAGGCAGTTGAGACGTATAAACGTGTCCGCAGTGGTTTTGGTTATGGTCGTCGCAATGCATAAGGACGTAATATTCTTACAACAAGTATTTCATGTGATTTGGCAATCGTGAACATGATTTATTACGTATAAAAGCAATTAACTCAAATTGACTATCTGCTGATCAGAGGATGTCATATTGGCAAGTTGTACTAGCTGTGAAGTCATTCCTCGTGAGAGCCTGACGGTTCAACATCATTTCCTTGTAGAGACTTTGCAAACCAAGAATCAAGTGGTAGCTCCTGAATAGACCGATGCGGAAGGACTTTTTGACAGAAGTCGAAAATCATAAGCTTTTGACTAATGCCGAAACTGCCCAGGAGGCATGGGACCGAGCAAAGACAGCAATTATCACGGCGGGGTGCCGAATTTTTGGCTTTCCTAAGGGCCGTCGCGTCATCAACAAGCAGACGTAGTGGTGGAATGAAAAAGTGCAGGAAGTAATTCGGTAAAAGAAGACTGCGTTAAGAGAGTGGTAACAAAGCAACTCTCCTGACGACAGTGCAGTAAATAGCAGCCAAACTTTGCCATCAAAAGAGCTGCAGCCAGATAATGAATCAAAAGCTTATCATGAATGTACAATAAGCTAGAAACTGCTGTGGGTAAAGCTCATATACAAACTGTGGCACTTGCCTGGGATAAAGCGACGCAACATATCAACAAATGTATAGACAATAGATGGTGAAGCTACTGAACAATCACCACCCGCATAGCCTTCCATCCAAAGCACCCCCTACTGGGTTACGGTTCACTAAACTAGACCTGAACAGAGAAGAACCGGCAAGAAACTCTTCGGTCTTGTTTTTTTTGTTATTTTTTTTTGTCTAGAATTTTAATAATAAAATAATTAATTCTCTGGATGTACCCTGTTTGAGAACGGCGGTTTGAAACTCAGTGTGGTGAAGACTGAGTCTAAATGGGTACTGAACCAGCCGTTCGAAATCGTTTAGGTAACTTGGATCTGTTTTGCAACGTGTACGGACGCATCGACCATGATTTCCAAGCTCAAATATGCACTGATTTGGGCTAAGTGACGAGAGGTAACAGGTATTTTCTGCGACTGCAGAATAGTGACCAAGAAACAGATGTATAACATATATGTATAGTTACAAACCTCTGATCATGTTGAAGGTCGGACAAAGTCGAGGAGTTTGAGTAGAACGGCAGAATCTGGCAATAGCGGGGATTAATGCCAGGAAGAAAAAGAAAATATTAAAATATCTGTTAACAGAAATGGAAGGAGTATTTGGTATCGAAAAATTCAACCACAACTCTACTTCTATATAACAACCCATATTTATCCTGCAATAATAAACACGCTAATCACAGAACACATTTGATCATATTAATGGGTATTCGTTCCAGGCATATGATCCCCTCTTTTTTTTTCACACTTTGCTTTCCGTACGAAAAAACTACATAATCGCCTTGCACCTTGTATGTAATGAAACTATTGAAGTTGTCTATCATAATTATATTGCTGAGATATAAACGTAATGATTACTGGGAAAAGAATTTATTCCGCATAATAGCCGTGATAGCTCATTGTCTAGGCGCTTGTTTTTAATTCAATATACTCGAGCAATCTGAGTTCAAATTTTGGTGAGGGCACCAATTAAACTGGTAATTTTAAGTGCTGACTTATTACGTGCTCAGCTTTGATGGAAAGCACCGTGAGGAAACCTTCAAATTTTGCGAAATATTAGCAAAAAATTTTTCGAAGAAATTTTAAGTCTGCTAATCCGCAATGTAGTCGCGTGGCGGTCTATACCCTCCGTACAGAGAAGGCCCTTGCCCAGCAGTATAGGCATGGGACATATATAGGCTATTACTCACTATAATATTATCAATCCTTCTGAGCATTGTTGAATATTATAAAAATAGTTAAATTTTCTCTGATCACCAGAATTTCATTATTATATTAATTACATTATTTTATTGGTACCTTTTCCTTATAACTTTGATTGTTCTTAGAAATAGGCATATTCGCATTGAGAAATACATTATTTCTTCAATACTCACTTATTTGCTAAGTAAGTGAGTAACTTTTAGGAAATGGTACAGATATTTCTCCTCTTTGTATTTGCTGGTATATTTTGTTAATAGTTTAATATGATATGTAGGTATTTATTAATATAATAAAACATATACTAAGCTTACTAGTATCATAACCGTAATTTAAAACCATGATGGTTTTTAAGACAGGGCTAGCTGTGGTGTATATTATGTAAAGAAGTTATTGCAAGCGCAATAATGTCAGTGCTGCAAAATAAATATTGGGTTAAAATATGTAAACGCTCAGCTCTCTTCTGTTCCCCTTGATATTTCTAAGGAAATACATATGTATAAAACAGAGGGATACCTTCGTAATAAAAAAAATATACTTAAGTAGAAATTATAGTTCTCAATTGTATTATTTTCTTTATTTTTAACTTCTACCAAAAGTTACTTGTGAAATGTTCACTCTTGTGTTTGGCACTGAACGCACAATGTTGTTCCGAAAACTCCTTCATGACAAAGGATTGCCGGTGCTCTGCTAACTCCGAGTACTTTGATATTGTGTTTTCCACCTTCTTTAACGTGTCTCCTTGCAACTTATCCTTGCTGCGGGTTAGTACCCAGGTGAAAACTGGAAAACAATGCAGTGTTATATACACTAAAGCTAAAAGTACGCAACGGATATTGATGCGGTTTTCTTAAATAGATAGTGTGATTCAAGAGGAAGGTTTATATGTATAATTCATGCATAATATAGTAGAGAAACATTGCAGTGATAACCGTCGCTTATGGGCAATTATAACACCTGTAGGGTTTTTTTTTATTTGAAAAGTTGCCAAGCGAGCAGATGGTTCACCTGATGTTAAATGAATACCGCCACCCATGGACATCTGCTACACCTGAGGGTTGCAGATGCGTTGACAACCTTTTGAAAATTGGGCTCCGGCCACCTCACTCACCAGACGAAACGCGAAAGTATTATACTTCCACTTTACGCTGGTCTTCTGTGAAGTCGTGTTACTTCCCCGGACGGACCTGCAAGGCTATTGGTTGGCTGTGAGCGGATATGTAGTATAATGCGTTAAAGGTTAAATTATTTTGTAGTATTTTTATGTGAGAAGATGGCAAACGAACTGGCGGTTCACCTGATTATAAGTGATAACCGCCGCCCATGGACTTTGCAACAACCGTAGGTTTTCCAATACGTTGCCACCTTTAAATTAAGTGGGCCCCGGCTACTTTCTACTTTACGCCGGTCTTCTGTGCGGTCGTGGTAACACTGTAGTGTGTTAACACTGTTGCGTGGCCCTACCAGTCGTTACACATTGTACCAGCGAGGACTAAAACGGAACAAGACAGCATCTAGCGTGGTAAAGGGAGTATAATAGCAATAGTAGAAGTAGTATGAAACAGTCATTGGGTCAATGGGTCATTCAGAGAAGTACCAATGGCTCACAGAAGGCCTATCGATTCATTTGAGGGTAATAAATGAAACCGTGGAGAAATTAATAGGGATTAGATCCAAAGATAACCTATTTATCATGTCAATTATATTATTTGCAACGCATGTTTAAACAATACACACAATTTGACGACCCGAATGGCGTAATGGGTAGTGTGTGGGTTCGATCCCCGCTACTGGAAAAATATTGTGTGATGAACGTTTTTCTAGCGTCTGGGTTATTATATATGCATAATATGTATTTATTTACAAAAAGAAAAGTATGTTTAAGTATGTTTTATCTAGTACCCACAGTACAAACGTTGCTTAGTTTGGGACTAGAGAACTTTGTGTAAAAACGTGTCTTAAAATATTTATTTAATATACTATATCTGCAAAGGTATGTATTTACATATCTAAGTTAGAATTACCGTAATGAGTACGCTGCTTCTTCTTCATCGTCTTGCAAGTGTAAGCTATAGCATAGTCGTCGTAGTCCGTTGACAAAATGAAGAAGGGAAACTGGAGTACTTTATCTGAAAATTTAATAAAAATTATTTTTCAGTTCTTTTAATTAAAGTTAAAACAAGTTTTCTGATTATTATGAATTAGTGTTTTTATCTTTAAGAATAATAAGAATATTTGAGGTGGTATATGCTTTGTATAGCTTTCAGAGCTAATACATAGTAAAGATCCGGCAAATAGAATAACCTTTTAGTTGTTTCTTTTAATCGCTCTCTTAAGATCGTCTTTTTAGGGTTCCGAACCCAAAGGGTAAAACGGGACCTAATTACTAAGACTCAGCTGTCTGTCTGTCTCTCTGTCTGTCTGTCTGTCCGTCTGTTACCAGGCTCTATCACATGAACCGCCATAGTTAGACAATTGAAATTTTCACAGATGATGTATTTCTGTTGCCTCTATAACAAAAGATACTAAAATCAGAATTAAAAAAAAATATTCAACTGGGGCTCCCATACAACATACATGATTTTTCTGCCGTTTTAATACGTACGTTGGTTTGTTTTTACGTAATGAGTAATCTGTGTAACTACTAATTCAGAAAAACTTTCAGTAAAGAGATTTTACTGCCCCGAAAAACAATTTTATTGCCAAAGAAAAAGATTTTGTTTTGAAAATTTCAATAATGGAGATCAAACTGGAGGAGAAGATAAGGTACAAGGTAAGGTGAGAAAAGGTACAGCTATCATATTCGACAGTTGTCCTGAAACTGTATTGTAAAAAGTTAATTTTTAATTAAATTACAAATATCGTGACAGGAATTGCCCGGGAACTCGCCTCGTTATACTCTTCTCGTACTTATCCGCGTATTCAATGCTTTTAGTTCAATTAAATGTAAATGATAATTTCCTATTTCCGCACCATTATTAACAGATGGCGTTGTTCGTTTTCCCTTTTAAATTATTACCATTTTACTCATACACATTTATGAGTATGAGTGGCGTGGCAACTATGGCATAACCCCCCCTTCATGATAGAAGTATGGGGGAGGCCTATGTTCAGCAGTGGACTCAAACAGGCTGAAATGATGATGATGATGATGATAAACATTTACAGAATATTATTAATAACATAACGGCTACCATACTTAAAAATCTATACTTTAAGGTATGTTTATGTAACATTGCTTATGTGTAATAAGACTATATCTAGAGAAGAAGTGTATATCCACTTTGATCAGCTGATTTAAAATCATTTCTTTTCTTAACACATACCGCCGTTCTCGTAGCTGACGATAAATTGTGCTTTATTCCCAGCATCAAAAGTCGGATCAACGCGAGCAAAATATGACGATTGGGTACCATTTACATGATCTATATATGTTTCTCTTAGAGTGTAGCCAAGGTTATCCTCTTGGAAATCAAGCGTGGAGCACTCGTAAATTGGACGCCCATCGCTAGCGTAACTAGCTACGTTGTACCAAAGACCTGAAAACTATAATGCATGGTTGTTGTTGAAATTAAAGTTCTCCGTAGTATCACACATATATATGGCATTTTATCTATATATCACAACTGGCATTGAAGTGTCGTTACGATTAGAAGAACTTTACGTCAAAGAATATGACAAGTTTTTCATCAGCTTAAAAGCATTTAACTCGGATGAGAGACCACTAGTTTAGTTTTGGAGTCAGTATCTTCTCTATGTCAAAACAGCTTATGCCATTAATCTGTAAAACGCACTGCGATACTACGAGTAAACAATATGTGATTGACGCTCAACTTGAACTGAATGCATGATATGCGAGTGAATGTTTATTTTAGATATTAAAACGAGAAAAATCAATTTTATGAAATTCGAGCAGAATTATTGCACATATAAATCGATAATTACTGTCTTTACATTCATATTTCTTAGTTCAGTGAGATATTAAAATAATTTAGCGGCATCCTTGTTAATTATATCCTACCAATTTTCGAGCAGATCCTACGGTACGGCAGAATACTTATTTTTATTTCATTATATAAATAAGCGGAAACTCACATCATATATAAAATTAAAAATTACAGTTGCTATGGTGGTCAATGTATGTCGTTATACGTGTTGTATAATTGAACAGTGAGAAACGTTACCTTGGTGTAGTCTAAGTTTTCTTGTATCTTGACAATAGGACACTCTCCGGCCAGTGTGAATTCGGCGCCAATCACAGATTTCATTAAAAATAAATAAATGAGTAACAATAACATTGCTGTTGTCTTTATAAAAACAAGTGGCCAATACGAGACTGTGGTATGGAATGATCGGGTCGCATCCTACGCGATAATTATCCAATGAGTCGACCCCTGTCTGCTCGTAAAGGCGACTTACGTTGAAATTGCTCTTTGAATTAAACCATGTAGGGTTACGTGTATAACCGTTATATGAAAATTGTAGTAGTTTATACATTTCCTTGTAAGCTGTGTCGAAATGCAATGATGGGACAAGTAGCGTATGTTTAGTGCATTTGTTATATTTTTAAGAAAATTTAGAGTTTACTAGTACTGTTCCTCTTAGAAATAACGTAAACAGTACTTAATATAATAAACTTAATAAAGAAGTAAAACATGTACCTATACTTTAGCACTAAAATAATACGCGATGACTGAACATTGATTAGATCTAGCATTAAACCTAGCATTAAACATTTGGCGATAAAATTTTGATCTTCAAAGCGTGTACAAGTTATGATATATAGCGATAAAGTATAAAGGTAGTACATACCCCACGTTCTTACGTGGGGTATGTACTACCTTTATACTTTACATAATACACAAACTAGATTTTAACGTTTTTACTGAGATAACAATGAAAAAACTACAAGAAGTAAATGACATTAACAGTACAGAAGTGAGATGTTACCTTAAGGTCACCATCAATCATCATTTTCACAATTTTGATGAAATTTATCATCGCAATTTGTTGTCACAGTGTATAATTTTTACCTTATTCCTATAACCAGTCGAGTATGAGATGTGCATTCTTATTAGGTGTTCAAAACAGTCATGGGCGGCAGGGTCAAGTTGAATTACCCCATTTTTTCCTTAATTGTCTATCAAGGTACAAAACATTTTGATTTTGATCAAGCAGATCAAATTATAGAGGATAAAAACAATGAAGCAAATTATAATGAAATTGTTCTATTTATTGACAGCGAATATTTATTTTGTTAATTTTCATTGAATGTTTGATTACTATACCAATAATTATATCAATATTTAATGATTTCAGTAGAATTGCTAGAATTTTAGCTAACATAACTCAAACAACATGATCATTTCTCGTTAGTAGAGAAATGAACATGTTATTTGAGTCGCATATAACATATTGTTGGAATTGGTGAGGCATTCCCAACAATAAACGTTAACCGGATAACCTTTGACACAAAAGTTTTAATAATAACTCCGACACATCGGCTGATTATGCTGTGGGAGTTACAAGGCAGAAGTCAATTTTAAAAATGTGCACGACGAAAGTAATAATATTTTTATTTAGCATTGGATGCGTCTGTGGGTATTTCACTTTGCCGGGTAAATGTCCTGATAATGTGAAATTCGAAGAAGATTTCAATTTAGCAGAGGTATGTGTGTTTTGCATTTTTTAAGATGATCATCTTTCTTATTTAGTGATGTCTACAAAGGATGTATTGAAGATTGCACTTTCAGTTTGATGGAACTTGGTACCAAGCGTACCATTACTCGAGTGATGGCCAACGTTTAAACAACTGCTCCACAGTAGAACTCCTGTATAAACCTACTGGAATTTATGTAAACTACTCAAGGGTGGATCTCGGTCTCTTTAAAAGATTTAGCATCGGAAAGCTAGAACTCATTATTAGTAAAAATGAACAGTCGTCCGAGCTGGATGTAACATTTCAATTTGATAATGCACCAAGAAGATGTGAGTAGATTTTCTCATAGCAGAAAATAGTGAAGATAATAATGTGTTTATAATGTAAAATTGTTTAAAATGACAATAGCTCCATTAAATTCGTAAACATTGCTATAATGAATGTGTGCTATTTTCAACAGCAAATTCTGTTGTGTGGCCCTACCACAGTTAAATTAAATTATTTTATTGCTTTTAATAACAGAAAGGTTGTTATTGTTTTTTAGCCATGCTTCTTTCCCAAACGAAATAGTTATTTTATTCGATAAATAAAAATATAATATGTTAATCCCGTATATACAATATATACACCTTACACCTTACAACTTATACCTAAAGGGGGCCTACACGCCAATTTCACATGTAAAGACCTAATATAATATGTATATCCCGTAGCGTGTAGGCCCCCTCCGTCTGAAATTAACTTAAAATCCGTTGCATTCAGAAGAAATAATAAGAATTTAAGTGCGAAATGTATTTTTGCTTATTCATTGTTTGTTCTATATTTTATTGCTTATTTTTTAACTATTTCAGTGAGGCTTAGACGTTACCCGTTTCGTATTCTAGCTACCAATTACAATTACTATGCCACAGCCTATACCTGTCAATACAGCCCTATGATCAATAAACATTTCGGTAAGTACAACAATTATGTCCACTAAACTGTTACGTACGACTAAACTGATTTCACTTACAAAAAAAAAATTAAATGTTACAGTTATTAATTTTTAGAGAATATTTTAAATAAACATGAATTCAATGACAACGTTCGTCTTATATAATGCGTTATTCATGTACTATATAAATTGTATTGTTGCACTTAATTACTTCATCTAATTCTAAATAAAAGTTATCCTATTCAAATTAAAGTAAACATTTAAAATAACTTTTAGGACATAATCCTATCGTGAGCGCTATGTCATACAAAAACCTAATAACCATATTACTTCTTCTTTCAGTTTATGTATGGATTCTTTCCCGTCATCCAACTTTGAATGACGTTTCAAAAGAGCTTGCCCTGAAACCTTTAGCTCAACTTAATGTTAATCATAACAAAATTGTTAAAGATGATTGGTCAAAGTGCGTTCCGAAGTACTTCGATGTTGAAAGTAGTGAACCAGTTACTTTTAGATACGCTGTTGCTATTTAATGAGATTTACAATGAAGATGATCGTGGAGAAGAAGTTCATCATATTCGTTTTCAAATGCTTCTATTGAATTGAGTTGCGTATAATAAAAAATATGTTAAGTTTTAATTTTTATTTCATTTGTTTTAAATGTCTACTACTCCTCGATAGAAAATAATTGTCGCGGGAGGTTTATAAATGAAAATTACGGAGAAAAATTATAATGAGACTTGAGGTGGCTTCACATTTTTGCAGAATCTCTATGAGGAAATCATTGGAGACCTTGAGTGGGTATTTTCACAAGAAGCTCAGTGTACACAAGCAATTTATTATTTTATACTACTCTAGCAGCAGGGCGGGCAGGTGCTGTTGTCGGGGAATAACCCATGACGAGCGTCGTCTCAAGAGGCACACTACCTCCTCGAGTCTTACGGGGAATACTTCTTGACTCAACGCCTGTCTTCTGTCAAACCGTAATACTTCTCCGGTCAAACAAGCCCATTTATGCAGCAACAAAACTGTTTTCGTTTCTTTTATTTATATTCTCTTTCAAAATAATTTCATTGTAAGTATACGAGTACATGCAGCGCAAAATAAATTAAGCGCAAAAATTGGTAAAAATAATTTTATTTATTATATTATAATTCATCTTTCTCTTCTTCTTTAGCATCTTCAGCGTGTACGTGAGCTGTCCAGTGGTGAGCGCAATTACTGTCATTTTGGTCCACAGGTTCTAAATAAGCGGTACTGACGTATGACAGTGAATTAATCTCTCGGTACGCCGTCTCCAGAATGTGAGATGGTAGGATTTTACTTCTTGATAATATCCAAGCTGAAACTAATTAATAAACATAACTATCATAAAAGTTATAACGAGGCATTTACTTTTTAACATCGCGAGTTTTTTTTCATCTCGTACATTTATCATATGGCACCCATAACAAAGTAATATACACATCAAAAGACAAAAGTCTAAAGTCTAAGCAAGTCAAAAGTCTAAGCAACACGATAAAATATTGTGATATTTACTTCAATAATTTACTAAAAGTATGTTTTTAAGTGCCATTTACAAACTTTTTAATCTGAAAATAAATTCTGTCTGATTTAGAAAAAATTATGTCAAAAAATAATAAAATTCTTTTGTTTCATTTAGGTGGATTTTTAGGTTGACAAATTGAATGATACTGATTGAAAATTACGACTATTTTTAACTTGAACAGTATTTATTGTTTTTAATTCTTAAAAGAATATAGAGAATGTGTTACGCAGCGACAATATTTAACAAGGGATGAATTTGCCAAGAGCAGTACTGCTGAAAATAAAAAGGAATCAGTCGGAGGTGGCGCGGGATTTTCGTGAAAACCGTAGTATAATTAACCATCTTTGGCACAATAACACCAATACATGGAACCCCGCAGAACTGCGTCCTGGTTCAAAAAGACCTACTACTCCTCGACAAGGACGTTCCGTGGAACTCGCCGCAAGACATCATCCTAGGTCGCCTAAAGCATTTGGTTAATGCTTCAAAACTCAACTGGCGTAGTTATTCGCACCCAAAATGTACGAGTATGGCCTTCATGCACAATTAGGTACCGATCCATCCAACATGAAAATTGAGAACTTCGAAGTATGGTGCAGGGTGCGCGTACAATGGCCGCAAGAGCGATGGAATAAAATGAAATTTTATGACGACTTTCGATTTGAAGTTAGATCGGGATTCCAGAAGAGTACAAAATATATCAGGTCTAGCTATATCTTGGACACAGTGAGAGTCTGTGTGGTTTGGATGAGAATCACTAAGGACAGAAAAACTGAGCTCTTTTTCAGAAATGGCAAATTAGACTCTGATTCTAGACAGATTATTGGCGAGGTAGCCAAGAGGGCTCGAGAACGGCTGTTTCGTAAAACTTATTTTCTGTAAGCAAACTTATTTTCTGTAAGCCACAAAAGGGTAGTAACTATCAAGGAACATGTAATGCCTTAAACTTTCAAGTAGCCTGGCTATGATAGGGCTACGTAGCAGCTCTTGCTGCTGCAGGTATGAGCAGGCTCACCCGTAGAATTACCACGTCCTCACAGAAAACCGGTGTGAAGGGTATTATTTTAATAATAGTTAGCAACAGATCTGTAACCCGTCAGGTGATTTAAATGTTCATGGCATACGGAAGCTAGCAGCTCGCTTATATTACTTTCCTTTTCACATAAAAAATATAAAAGGTACAAAACAGCTACGAATTTCATTATCATGTTGTTTTCGAAAACAGATCTGATGACTCCGTGGCGCAGTTGCCAAGGTATTGGCTTCGGCGTCGGGGGTCGTGGGTTCAATTCCCACACGCGACGACTATTGCTATACTATCCCATGCGCGACCCCTGTGGGTCGCGCAAATAGTTGCGGTTTTTTCGCATCTGCGTGTTTGTCCTCGTGCAATTTATGTTTGTTAAACGTCCTTACAACACAGGATAATGTTATCCTAAAGTGAGGGCAATGTTTAAAAAAAAAAAAACGAATTGAGCTATGGCGAAAAGTCCCTATTTTATGTGTTGCAGCAAATACATTTTCTTACGTGGATATATCTATGTAGAGGCATTTATTATTGACAAGATATACTTACTGTATTTAATATCTAGTTGTTCATTCATTCTGCAGCCGTATAATATGGCGTAATTGGTATAATCTGTTGCTATTACTGAGAGAGGAATGCCTACTGGATCTGAAAAAATAAAAAAAAAATATTGACTTCAATTTTTTATGTGAAAAGTTGCCAAACGAGCAGACGGCTCACCTGATGTTGAGTGAATACCGCCGCCCATGGTCATCTACTTCACCGATGGTTCCAGATGCGTCGACAACCTTTTAAAAATTGGGCTCCGGCTACCTCACTCACCAGACGAAACGCGAAAGCATTATACTTCCACTTCACGCCGGTCTTCTGTGAGGTCGTGTTACTTACCCGGACGAGCCTGCCCATTCGTGAAACAGCCGAGGCTGTTGCGTGGCTCTACCACCGTAGCAGCGTTTGGCCATAACTGGAATATCTAATGCACTGTTATGTACTAAATATGATACGTCATATATTACCAGCTATAGGCATGAACCTTACCAATAAAGACTTTACAGGATCACGGGATTTTGCTTTAATTTTTAAAATTATACTGCTCTGGCTCCTCCTCAGATGACGTATTTTCTCTATCGAAACACATACTCTCTAACAATTAATCATAGTCATGAGCTTCTAACTGTGTAACATCAATTTGGCTTTCTCAGTGTTGTTTAATTTACAATTTTCACATACCTATATTATTCTTCTCAAATGTAAAAACTGCATCATCTCCAGGTATATAAGTACTATTTACATGCAAAATGTACTGAATGGCATCCCTGACGAAAGCGTACTCAATTTCAATTCTTCTTCCGCATGCTTGGAAACGTTTGGATGCACATTTTGCGGATTCTTCATACCAAGCTGGAAAACGTTCCACTTCGTACCACAGACCTAGAAACTGTAATTAGTAAGAGAAATAGCATCACGTAAAAATCACTTATTCGTGTAAATTTATGTGTGACTTATCTCTTACATACAAATCTGAACTGTTCTCTAAATTAATTTTATTTTAAAGTATTTTATTTCCTTCTTTTTTTACATTGTCCCTAATTCATTTTTAGAAATAGAACACGAAAATTATACCAACCAACCATGAAATTATATCAAATTTTAAACTTACTTTTTCCAGATCAAAAAACTTTACAGGTTGCACTTTACCACATGGTCCGAATTGTAACACTTGATTGCTACTCAATTTTAACTGTATTGCAGTCAAAATTAAAAACGTTAGACGCTTTGAACCAAACATTTTGTAAAACTGTTTGAAGTTTGGCTTTTCCAAGATAACAAATGGGATTATCGTTATCGAAAGATACTACTTTATCTGACATCACGTCGAGATGAGTTACGCGTAATAGTTGATGAATAAGATATTATACAATATATCTGCAGAAAAAAAGGTAACATTTTTTTTAGTTACCTTTTCTTGGCACGTATGTTTGTTGCCTTGTCTATTAAACTGTACGAAAAACAAAATGGAAAATATTTACTTTTACTTTATTAACATTTGAGACCTACATTAACAAGTTATAACATTGGATCGTTTATATTATATTGATTATTTCACCACGTACTTCATCATAAAATTAAATTAGTTAGTTTTAGCATTTTATGTATAACGATTTAGATTTTCTTATATTTTATGATAAATTGTCCACTTTTCGCCACTGCTGGTATCTTCACCAAGAAAAAGTCGCAACCTCTTATCTACTTCGTTTTGATTCCATTATAATTTTACTGAATTAGTTAATATATTTAATAATTTACAAGCAATACAAGGCGTCGTCTAGTGTGCTTCAATAAGAGTGGAAAAAAAAACTATGAAAGGGTTTTAGGTAACATTAAGATGTGCGTTTTAAAGTTTAAGAAACGTCGCAAATTCGAAAAACATATTAAACGCGACAAACCCAATTTAATTGTATAATAAAACAGTTTAATTTTCGATTTCACGTGAATACTAGAAATATTTTTCTTATTAATGTTTTTGCTTTCCCTCCGGTGACTATTAAGCCTGATGTAGTTTTTGAATAAATACCCTCATAAGAGCCATATCAAATTTTTGCATGTGGACATGCGTGATGAGTGCGTTATCAAAGCCAGAGTTTGTCCTGGTAAGCGGACCGTTGGTTGAGAGCGGTTAGAATGACCGTGGGACATGTATGTTGTTGGTTGGGTGTTCTCTGTTTGTTGTAAGTTTTGTTGGTTTGGCTGTGTTTACCGATAGAGGATTGGGATGATTTTAAGTTACCCCAAAGAACTGTTTGTTATTTGTATAAAATTTATACTTAAAGTCCGGAGTTTGGAATCACTTGCTGAAACCTGTACCGATTATAAAGCATAAGAAAATGAATTAATTTGCACTACCTTGAATTTTATTCAGGTATGTTTAGAGAATATGTCTAAAAACATGCAAGGGTATGCGATTCTGCGATTATCTGCGATGTGGGATAGTGTTGTTTGTAAAATTGATTCTGGGGTGGCCTCGTTTAAAGCATATTGCTACACTTCCCTCCACGATTGCGTCTATTTTTGATTAAAGAAGCCAATCGTCAAGACGATGGCCAGACCTTAAGAGGCGAATTGTTATAAGGTATAGAAGATTGTTGCTACAGAAAAATGTAATCTGTGTAAATTGCGAGCTCAACATCCACATGGATCCACATCCATCGAAACTTTATTTGTATAGTGTATAGAGTAGGAGGAAAAGACATTCTCCTCGAGGAACGCCCGCGTTAACGGGGAGACTGTATTCTCTTTTCTATGGCGAAAGGAGAGGCTCAACAAAAAGGCTCGAATGTAACGAGCATGTCTGGTACATTAAGTGCGAATTGCTTGTGAAGCAAGCTGTTGCTATTGACTTTGTCGCATGCCTTCGTTATATCGAAAAGAGCGCACCTTTAAGCTTTTGAGAATTATTGGCTCCTATAATTTTCCCAGCGAGATGGGGAGACTAATTATGAGCGATAAATTGTCGGGAGGTTGCGTGTTTTATTCAGTGTTGGAATGCTGATAGTATTTCATTTAGTGGTATTTCAATCCTTTGATTATATGTTTGATCTTATCTGGGGTTACTTTATAAAGAGGGTCCACTTCTGGTGAAAATGCAGATCAGAATCAATAACGCGGTCTAACTCGAAGTGCTGAGTGCAGTGAGCTGATTCAACGTATTCCTGGAGTGGAGTGACTTTTTTTAGAGTCATCAAGGGCTAATGAAGTATCATTAAGGTATTTGTTGTAACTGTGAGTGAACTGCCCGTAGGCATCGTGCAATTGCTTGATTTCTTCAAACAGTTAGTCATCGGTTAACCACCTGTTGGGGCTTCCTAAGCTGGATCCGATTCAATTCCAATCGACATCGATCATAGGCCTTTTTGGCCGCGTTCTTCACCCTGATGAGACATCAGATATTGAAATTACGTCGGTTACCTTACCTCTGAGTCTATACTGTGGATAGTCTTTATCGATTTAAAATAGGACGAGACCGCTGCGAGAGTAAAAATATCTAACATTTTTGTCTCATTTATCTCGAATGGGAATCTAGTCAAAGTATCTTCTTTTTTATGAGAAGGTAGCAAACGAGCTTGCGGTTCACCTGATATTAATTACTAACAAACGCCCATTGTTATATGTAATAATCGTAGGATTGCAGTTGCGTTGCCACCTTTTAATAAAATGGGTCCCGGCTACCAGACGAACTGTGAGGCCGACCTTCTAGACGAAATGCAGAAGTGTAACATTTCCACTTCATGCCGATCTTCTGTGAGGTCGTGATACTTATCTGAATGGACCTGCCCATAAGGGCAGCAGCTAAGACTGTTGCGTGGCTCTACCACAGTTAAATTTGGAGCGATTATGTTAATGTTTGTTTTTTAAGATTTTGTAGCGCTTTGTATCCCGTTTGTATCGGGCTGATATCGATATCCAAGTTACGTGTTTACATTTTAAGTTTCTAATAAGAATCACGGAGATCTGGACTTAGATCCAGAAACTTTAGGCCTCTTTGTAGGAAGGCTTTGGTTGGCGAGAGATAGACAGAGACTATTATAATTAGCCTGTGGCCAGTGTGCTATTCTACAAAATAACGCTTTTATTCGGACTGGCTCAGGGACTTCGTGCGGACAACAGTGTAGGATCAAGGACCTTTTGTTATTCAGTAAAGTCACGTATGAATTTTGTTGAGTTCCCTCGCTCCCGAAAAACTTCTTTATTTCTTTCAACCGCATAAAGCCTTGGCGTTAAGAGGTCCACACATTCCGAAATTGGATCAACCATTGTTTGAGTCCTTGCTCTAGAATACTGAATACTCTAATATCTTTTCTATCTATTTTTTAAAGTTCTTAGTTTAGTTTTTATTTTCTCGAGTAGTATTATGTCTTATCGACATCAGTATGTTTTCCCATACAAGAAGGAATAGCATAAAATCGGATATCGGTCCTCGATTTATAAAAACATAAATCGACGGTCAACTAGGAAGCAACAGGTTATGTTTTATATGATATAAAATAAATCTCATCGAGAATACTGAACTTCGAGATATTCTGTAAATTGAAAATAAAATTAAAACAACCATGGATAAAACAGACACTAAGTTAGATAAAAAGAGTAAAATAATTTTAACAACTTATGTATGTAAGTATTCAAAATAATTACCTAACAGAAAGATAAAAGTTAAATTCATAATTTTGATTCAGTTCAATTTACTTTTAATAAAAATGTTGAAATGCTTGAAGTTACTGAAATAATTACGGTAGCATAAACAAAAGATTATACAGTAATAATCAAAAATATACATCAGCAACGCATTTTAACATTTATACACAAAAACCGGAAGTAAGTAAAGTAAGATATTATGTTAAAAAGTTTCCACTGCATTCTGCATTCATTCAACGCTAATTTTTTTTCCGGAAATACAGTAGGACAATAATAACTGAAACCGTGGTAAAAAAAAACCTTTGATATAAAAGACGTGACGTTTTCCGTTGCGTTGCAGTTGATTTGTGACATCTGTTTGTGCTCCTCTCACTATCTCATTATAGCAAGATGTTTTATTGTTTAGCTATTATATTGTTGGTTACGTTCAGCGTAAAGTGTGCTGTGCACAACGCTAGCTGTCCCCTTATCAATCCGCGGGAGTTGGACTTGAAGGAAGTGAGTTGATTTTTAAAATTTTGAAAAAGTTTCCCATATTAGAAATAAGTATCCGTATATTTTTAATAAGTTGTTGGTTGAAGTCTTTATTTTTTCAAATTATACGTGTGATAAATAATGTTTTCAGTTTTGTAAGTATATTTTTTGGTATTAAATTTATATATTTCTTTAAATTACTGACTCAATTTTTAACTAAAATCCGTAATAATAAGGACATAATTATTAAAAAAAAATCTTTTGTTAAATGTGATTGTTTGATTTAAATAAAACTAGTGCCTAATTTTGACATCAATAGTAATGTTAAATAAATATTTTGAAAAGTCAACCTTATCAAAACTTTGCATTTCCTTTTTCAACACGCCCTTATATTTTAAAGTCTTGTTACAAAAATAACCTAAGCAGGTTTAAAATTTCAAATCAAATTGTTCTTTTAAAAACCTTCTAAAGGATTATCAAGATCTCCAAAGGTTGTAAAACTTGCGTAAAATCTAAATATAACGCCGTCGACACGTTGAATGCGTAATCAACTTCCAAAAATAACCTTAATTTGTCTTATTTTAGGCTAAATTTATCTTTCTTGAGCATAAACAGGTACTTGCGTTGGATACAAATTATAAACTCAAATCTTATTTATGTCTTCTTATCAAAAACGCCTTTCAGACGAACCATTAAAAATGCTAATATTTTTGCATTTCATCTCATTTAAATCATTTATATAACAATTAGTAATATAATGTAGTATTTTTGGACATTTTGAAGTGGTTCTTTTCTTACAATTATATTTTTTACAATGACAAAAGCAGTTAAAATTAAATAATTTAAAAAAGTACGCATTTTATCCAATTAAAAAAAATTATTAATAATTGTTAATTATTTAAAAATAATTATTAAATGATTTAAAATTTTCCTCAAGTATCGACCTTCACCTCGACAAAGAAAAATTTAATTATATTAATTTAAATAGTTTTCAGAAAGACATATCTAATTTCAACTAACATGCTAAAAATACTTACATACTAACAACTGTGTATCTAATGCATGTGACTTCATCATGATGAATCTAAACCTGAGATTGATATGTCCTAGTTAATTTTTATTTTTTTATAATGGGTAAAGATTCAAAATTACATAAAACATCGATTTCTTTTCGTTTCTTGTGATTTGTCTGTGACACTGTTTATAATTTTCAATATTATTTATTTTATATCAAGATCTCTTTCATTTGCTTACGTATCGGGCGAACGCCACAGTCAACAACAACCAAGACTTGGCAGAACACAACGCAGGGCCGAGCAAATCACCTTGTAAGGCCTATAGATACCTTGGGTGAAGAAAGCTAATACTCAAATCTAATTCCTACTAAGGAATTCGGTGGCTTAAATGTTTGCATATCTTTTTCACGTCTGTTCTTAATGAATTTACCTTTAGGTCATTAAAATTAGTGCAAAACCAGTGCTAAATGGTATCAGCAGAAAGTCGACTTACATAGCCATGTAAAGTGTACTAAAGCTTCTAGAGAAACTTTAGAGGGATAACGAGTCTATTCAAAAATAATTACAACCCTTTAATGGTAAACGCAGTGAATTACCAACCCGACATAAAGACTATCGTCACTCGTGCAACGACCTCATCGTTTAAAGTTTCGCATATTCTGTCGATTCCCAGTCCAGACAATCAAACACGTATACAGTTAAATACCATAATACAATATATATTAAGATCTTTATTAGTGAAATGTATTATTTAGTTTACAAAACTTTTACACAAATCTACTTAATACCTGAGGCGCTCCCTACTACTCTTAAATTTAGCTATTAATCTCATGGACATTGATAAAATATATTGTATGGTAGCAGTGCAAGCGAGTAGGCCTTTTACTTGAAGTTAATTTGTTACCGGTGTCCATGGATATCTATAATACCTGATGGGTTGAAGATGTTTTGTCAACCATTAGAGAGGTCTCTCATTCCAAAGTGGTTGTCTCATTCGAAAGTACAAATATCTTCTTCACCTCTAACTTCATCACCCGACCAATGGTATTCGCAGCGCTTAAGAATCTCAATATCCAACAGCTTGATGGAAAATGGTACGTGGCAGCTGTGGCCACTGAACTCCAGATAGGAGGCGACTGTGCTATGGTCCTGTTCAATCACAAGAACGACAACACCACGGACGTTTCAATCAGTTGGATCTCGAACAATACATTCAGTTTTTACAACGGCTCTGTTGAACTAACTGTTGATAGTAACAACACTGGTGATTTATTAATGGTCACCTACACAGGTAATTATTTTTCTTTAAAAAAATTGCCCTTTCTTTATGTAAACATTATCCTGCGTGGTATGGACGTTTTACAAACATTAATTTCACGTAGACAAATATCCAGATAGGAAGCAACCATCTGTGGGTCACACAAATAGTTGTCCCGTATGGAATCGAACCTATGACCTCCGACGCCGAAGCCAATACCTTGGCAAATGTGCCACGGAGTCATCAAAAACCTATAAAGGTTTTGTTATCTTTATACAAAAAAAAATATAGCTATTGAACCCAAAGACAATGTGCGGAAAGAAAATACGACGCGATTCTTTAATAGAAAATAATAAAACGTAACGTTTGGTTTGTGCTTAAAAAAGAATAACTTCACAAATGAAACAAAAAGTGAGAAACTAGAAAACAAGTTAGAGATCATTAATCAAAGCTTTCTAAAAGAAACTCCAACAGAAGTCTAAAGTTAGATGGACTATTTACTATCAAAAATACTCTGTATAATTGATTAATGCTTGTACTGATCGGTTTTCTTATGGGTATTATTTTTTTGTTAAAAGACGTTACAGATAGTCTTTATTTATACATAGCCTAATTATATTACTTTTTCTTTTAACATTTGTTAATTAATTGCATTGCATATTTGCAGATCAGAGAACCGAAACCTACTCGTTTCTAGATGTGGATTACGAACATTATGCGGTTATCTTCGCTTGTTATGACAACGTCGATGGCATGAGTAGTACTTGTAAGTATATTTTATAGTAAAGTACATTTAAGTATAATTTTTAGCTTTTTGAATTCTTGTGGAGTTGAATAGTCTTTTTCCTTTCGCAAAGTATTGCTTTTGGGGTCCAAGCAAATTATAACTGTTGTTTTAGCCTTCATGTGCTCTGCACAGAGAAGATTTATTGTCTTTTTGTACTTTGCCTAGTAGTGGAAGTTATGTATTTAAAAAATGAACTTTATCTTCTTCGCGTTAGATTTGAGAGTTTGGTGTGTGGTCCATGGAAATCGCAGCATCCACCTATAAAACCAAAATTTCAAAATCTTATTGTCTAGCATTCGGTGTTGTAAAATAAAATTGAGAAAACCAGTGTACAATCAAACTCACAAGGGATATAATACGATCTTGTCATATCCTAGTGTAATTTCTTTTAGTATTTTTGGTAGTTTTTGACAGTGGTAGGGCCATGCAACCCTGTTGCACGAATGGGCAGGTGCGTCCGTGGAAGTGCCGTGATCTCACAGAGGACCGGCGTGAAGTGTAAGTGTTATACTGCTGCGTCTGGTGAGTGAGGTAGAAGGGGCTGGAGCATCTTCAACTCAACGGATATTTCAAATGTCCATGGATAGTTTTTATCATAGTTTTATTTATAGTATTTATCATGAATAGTGTTTATTTATATGAACGAGAGAAAATTTTAATTTATAAAATAAAGTGGCTGTGATCTTAGATTGCTCATTTTCCAAACTACCACGATTCCCATTTAACACAATCAAACTAATTTGAGTTGTCGACGAAGCATATTAACATTGGAGTGATAATTGGCTATACTTTTCTATGATCTGCCTGCCTTTCAGAGTTCCCAATGAAGTAATATAAGTTATCATAAAACTGTCCCCTCTTTGATGTCGTACGTAATATTAATGGAACGAAGCAACAAGTTAAGGCATAGGTCTGACTAGACATCTACAAAACATGCTTTTAATTATTTTTTAGTTACGTAGGTTTCCTTGTGATGTTTTATTTACCACTGAGCAAATGGCCAGTTAACATTTAGACTAGTAAATGCACAGCACAATGCACAAACATAAGCCGACTAAATGACATTTGAAGAGGCCTGTTTTTAGCACTGGATTGTTGTAAGAAATCTCATGACGACGTGGAAAGTGATGCCACTATGGTGGATGACAAACCATTGACCAAGAGGCCCATAAAAAATACAGTATTATGAGATTTTGCCATATTATTTTTGATGGACGGTGGTGACATATCCGAAATTTAAAAAATTATAATCATTCCTAAAGAGAAAGGGAATGCGTGTCTTCTTCCATAAGATACTCCACTTAAGTCCTATCAAAGCTTTATCCGTATTTTGATTATTAAATAAAAATAAATTAATGAGATACTTAACACATGGGTGATAAGAACGATACGATAAGTCAAATGATAAGAACGGCTAATACGAACCCGTCACAACAATAGGCAATGATGACCCGAAACTAAGTTGGAATATGTAAATTTTACGTAGGAATACGTAAATTTTACGTGTAAAAAATGTACATTACATTTTCTTATAGAGAGTTTTAAGACCACTTCCAACGACTGTCCAAGTGGAATTTCATTTTTGATCACCACGGATCAATGTCGTATCATTTAATGTGAGTGATTATTGTCTGTCGTTGACCAGAACGGCTGTCTTCCGTGCTACAGCGACCAGCTTTTCAGACAAGTTGCCGCGTCAGTAATCCAAACTCGGCTTAATTGAAGCTGAGTGGCAGGCGATACGTTCGTAACCCGTTTTGACAACAAACGGAGAATCGGGCCAGAAAAAAGTATTTTATTCTGCGAAATATAAAATCTGCACTTGTTGCAGCATCATTAATTCCGAAAAATCAAACATGAAGAGAAGCAGTTGTAAAAAGTTAGTTAGTTTAAGAAAATAAACTCTTTCATTCATCGGACATGTAAATGGAAATTGTAAATGTATATAAAACTAGCCTTTCACCCGTGGCTTCGCTCGCGTTAAAATAAGCTTTAAGAATATGTGTACAAAGTTTCATGTTAGTCAGTTGAGATGTTTTCACGTGAAAGCGTAACAAACAAACTAACATTCACATTTATAATGTGATAGGGATATTATAAAAGTAGGGATAGTTTTTTTCCCTACCTACATACGAAATAGCGTTTCTTATAACTGTCACATACACTAACTGCAGCTATGACTATATTTTTTATTTCACTCTTATGGGTATCATTTTTACAAACTTTGAATACCATATTTGTTTATATCTGTGTACCAAATTTCATTTAAATCGGTTCAGTGGTTTAGGCGTGAAAGCGAGACAGACAGACAGAGTTACTTTCACATTTATAATATTAGATTGGATATAACCATATTTATTTATATCTACTCAACAGCCTTAAATATAAGTTTTGTGCTTCTTGTTTTAAAAATTACAATACTTTCATACAAATTTTCATCCCCCTTTTTCAACCGTGTATAACACTTTTTCGAATTCAAAATAGCCTATATTCTTTCTCAGGCTCTAAACAATCTTCGTAACAAATTTCATTTAAATCGGTTAAGTAGTTTTGGCGTGAAAGCGAGACAGACAGACAGAGTTACTTTCGCATTTATAATATTAATATGGATGTATCCATATATCTAATCAATAGCCTAAAATATAAGTTTGGTGCTTCTTGTTTTAAAAATGACAATACTTTCATACAACTTTTCATCCCCCCCTTTTCAACCGTTTATAACACTTTTTTCCAATCAAAAATAACCTTTGTCCTTTCTCAGGCTATCACTATACTATCTACTATCACTATCTGTGTACCAAATTTCATTTAAATCGTTTAAGTAGTTTTGTCGTGAAAGCGAGACAGACAGACAGAGTTACTGTCGCATTTATAATATTAGTAGCGTATCGATCGCTAATTCAGTTTTAATTTGTTATGAAAGTTCAATTATTGAATGGCATTTCCTTTGTCATTTTCTGGCATTTATGATATGTTAATAATATTCATGCATACAAGAATATTTAAAGGGAGATTACTACACACTACTTTACTCAAATTATTCATTCTTAACATAGATTCCTGATCATCAAGTGTTTAGAAATGTATAGAAATAAAATTAAATCAGTATCACAATCTAACACAGACGTGTAAATGTTACACAAAGTAGAAGCAAATCAAAGCATGTTAAAATATTTTTTCAAGCGGATAAAATCGATAAAATCCTATCTAATTTATTTTATTAAAAAAAAAAAAAAACAATTCGGACGCTTATTTAAATAGCATATTATTAAGATTTTAAATATGCTTTTGCTTAAATTAATAACGAATGGATTCATCGATGATGGCCACCATTATTCACGCCGAATATAGCGGAAATTCATACAGGAAAAAATTAATTTATATTCTGATCTGTTTAGTAAAAACTTGAATAATTAGATTGTACGATGATGAGAGCAAAAAAAAAAATCAAATGCCTCGTTCTGATCAGAAGTTCCGTATTTTTATTTAAATATCGAGCCACTTGCTGGTCATTTTATACACGCAGTATTTTGACCTTTTGCGAAAACTTTTCAATTTTTATCTATCCAGAACTGGTGCTAAAAATAATAAAGATGTTTTTGATTTCCTCAAACGGATCAAATTTAAAATTTCATTGAAACATCAATTGTACTTAATTACTTCCTACAAAACCTTAAAATCTAAATTCTTCCTTGTACACGAAACGGTAAGTGAATTTTTTTTTACCACCGATCTCGCTTCAAATCACTTCCCGAGTGCAAGTAACAACTATGAACGCGGCTATTAACGATTTGTGATGAAAACCGAATCACGCGGCTTTACGTTTCACTGCCTTCGTTTGTCATCACCGATGCATTAAATTACCGTTCTTTTTTTGTCCGTCTTTCTGTTAAAAGGTGGTTTCATAATTTTCATTGAAATGAATTGATAATTTTCAATATTATTATCAGATGATTATCTGATAACTGAACAAATAATTATAGAATCTATAATGCACGCCCTGCGTAGTTATTAGTTAAGAGGGTCAACGTTATCGAACGTATTGCCATCCTCATTGTACATGAGCAAAGAGAAAATGAACTAAAACTACAGGTTAATAAATTCTGTTATAAAGACACATAATACTATTGTAATGACAAACTATTATGATCTTGTAAATTAAATTTACGTCCCTAAATCTGCACTCCAAGGTGATATGAATTCAATTTTCTATAATTTGAGCTATAATTTGACACTGTAATTTGAGCCTCTCTACTTTAGCCACAATAAACTCATACCTATTTAAAAGAATTTTTCCAGATTATATTATTTCAAAGTGAACGAGTATTGTTTTATATCAGATACCGATCAACTATTTATTATCAAAACATTTGCATTAAAACACCATTTCTTTCTAGATTGTTGTTAAATATACGTAAACCAAGACAAGTTATTGTTTTCAATGCCGTTGGATACAGCCACTTTGTCAAGATAGTTCGCATTTTCATTCCCTAATATAACACAGGAAGGTAACACAGCTTAATAATAATTTTAAATTTACATTTTAGTCTAAAAATATTGTTAAGATGAAATAAGGCAAGAAATAGGGCTAAGCAGGTAAGTATATTGAAAAACTGTTGCAAGACAGTTTTTGAATTTATTAAAATTATAATTATATCTTCATTAATATTGTATAAAATATATTTTTTAAAGACTAGCTTTATGTTCTCCACTGTTTATCTATGTAAAAACGGAGCTCCAATCATTAGATCTATCAGTAAATATTTAATAATAGTCTCAATTATGTTCGTTTAAATATTTACAACCTAACGTTTTTATCTCAGAAGAACCGTTATTTTTTTGTGTATGGTTTTTGATATAAAAAATATTTTATATATATTCATATTATTTATATTACGACATTAAATTTATTCATATTTTTGATCCACTTATCTGAATAGCACATTCCTAATCATTGACTTTGACATAAAGCGATTGTTTTTATAATATATATTTATTTAAACATTATGCAGACTTAAATAAAAGTGGCCTTAATGCAACGGATTTTTTTACTATTCAACCTTAGAGTTGTGTAAACTAAGAGAGTTAGGTTAACAGAACATTAAACGGTAAATGGTATATTTGTTATGTATATACATAAGTATTACAAACATTAATCCAATCCAATCCAATCAGCCTTTTGCAGTCCACTGCTGGACATAGGCCTCCCCAAGAGTACGCCACAGAGTACGATCTTCCGCTTTTCTCATCCAGCCACGACCTTTCTCAGGTCATCGGTCCACTCGGCTTATTGTTATTAGAAGAAAGATATTAAAAGTGAGGAGATAAATAAGATTATGTTTTAGGTCAGTCATGAAAAGAAGAAAGAATGGAAAGTTCTCTTGAAGAATATAGTTGGCAAATCGGCAACTACTGCAGCTAAGAACTTTATAGTAATAGATAGTCACATTTATGAATATTGAAGCACAATCGAATGCAGTTACTTACATTAAGGTCAAAGTAGGACACCTTACCAAACTTCAATTAAGAGAAAATCAAGGTGCACACGTATTATTTTGGTTTTAGTCGCCAAAATGTTTAAGCACGAACATTTCCAACAATGATGGCTGGACATTTTGGTGTATGAACAGTTAAACCGAACTTGTCAGATCAGTTTTTAATGGCAGCTAAGTCAGAGTTAATCTTTGAAATGTTTTCTGGGAGGCTGTTAGTAGTTACCTGGTTACACGCATTGAAGGTCGTGACAAAAGAGATTTATATAAAAAAAGGTAAATATAACAGGAGACAGCATACACCGTTTACGAGACTACTACTGACTATTCACATTATCAGCTTGCTGGCGCCCTAGAAAATAGGAAGAAACCTATAGCAGCACTTCATCAAAAACGATGTCATAGAAGATAATGAACAAAAGAATTTCACGTTTGACTTAACGCTTGCTAGCGTTGGAAAAGTCAATAATACCATAACTGTCATAGTACTGTTTTCCATGTCAGTCCTATTATCACCAGTAACCTTAAATACTGCGGTGGTGTTACTACCACCAGGTCTAAGCCCGGATTGAAGTGGAGTTATCGAGTTATGATCAAGTATAAAGCGAGATAATTTTTTAAGCACAAAAGACTTGAAAAGGAAGAGCAGAATAAAATTATGTCAGATATGAGCGGGCTCTGAAGGATTTTAGCATTTTGGGAGTGGACGGACAAATATTTTACGCCAAAGAGTAAGGAAATGTCCAGAGTCTATGGAGAAATTTATAATATATACAGGTATAACAAGGATAGGAATAATCATGCGTTGAATATTTTGAATTTCATCTTTACTTCTATAACAGCTGAGCAATAACAGCATTATAAAACAAATCGACGTATTGATAAATAAAAATTTGCTTTTATAATGTTTTATAAATAAATAAAGAGTTAAAAACTTAGCCAAGCCTGTATATCTTGTTCTAGTAATTAATTTAGTACGTACTTTTATTTTAAGTTACTTTTCTTGCAAGGAGATGCATTCCTCCAATCCTTAACTCGATCAACATTGTCCCCATTATTATATGCATTGTCTAATCTAAAAAAAACATTCGATTGAAAAACCCACCGAAAACTCTATTTGAATCCTAGAGATCAACAATTTATTCAAAAGCGTTTCGTATTGTTTGAAAACATACTTGGTATGAAATCCGCTCCAGTTTTCGGGTAATGATATCTTATCCTTTAAACGAGCAATTCTTGTATATATATATATATATATATATAATCGGAATCTTGGAAACGGCTCCAGCGATTTCCATGAAATTTAATATGTGCGTAGATTCGGGGGCGAAAAATCGATCTAGCTAGGTTTCATTTTTAGAAAATGTCCTTTTATCCCTGTTTTCGCGAAATGAAAAATATCATTCGAATAAGACGGTAAATTTCGCCGCAAGAGAAAATGTCATAATAGCTCGGTCGGTAATCGGGCGGCCCCAAAACAGACGGCCGTGGTTCGTATCACGATCATTTGCACACTCTTTTTTTTTAACTTTTTTTTTGATTCCAGGCCATTGCTTTCTTTATTTTTTATTTTTGTTGATCCAGAGAATTTTGTTATTTTTTTCCCTTTTTTAAAGTTGTTTCTTTTGTGAAAAACACCACTTCATATTTTCTTATTATTAGGTCGGTAAGATCGAAAAATATTATGCATATTTCATTACTCAGTAATTTGTACCTAAATGTAATTTCCAAAATACACGATTTACCAAAAAAAAAAACAAACCGAGCAAAGCTCGGTCCTCCGGGTACTAATTAAGTATATGATATAAATTTACTTTTGTCGTGTAGTATCTCTCACTGTGGTAGGGCCACGCAACAGTGTTCACTGTTGCACGAATGGGTAGGTCCGTCCTGGTAAGTACCACGAATTCACAGAAGACCGGCCTAAATTAGAAGTGTTATACTTCTGCGTTTCGTCTGGTGAGTGAGGTAGCCGGGGCCCACTTTATTTAAAAGGTGGCAACGTATTTGCAACCCTACGGGTGTTGCAAATGTCCATGGGCGGCGGTTATCGCTTAATATCAGGTGAACCGCCAGCTAGTTTGTCACTTTATCACATAAAAAAATTATAAACGAGTAAACTTAAATAACTCGTGTCAAAGAACATGCGGGTATCGAATTAAGTCTTAACCGGAAGTGAAATGAGATTATTTATAAAACGAATTAGAATTTTTAATCAATTTTTTATTCCGCCATAATTGGCGGTGACCTTTTTTCACGTTCTAGACGCAGTACGCGATAACCATCATTAGACCGGCATCATTATTCCGTTACAAGAGCTGAATTGAATGCCTAATTGGTCTTTTTTCAAGCAGCACTCCTTAAAACCGGTCATGGGTGGCGGTCGTTGCTGACCAGTGTTTATATTAAAAAAAAAAAAAAAACAGAAGTGATATCGAAAAAATCATTAGCGTATTCAGGCGAAAGATAAGGGACGTGTAATAAATTGAAGTCTATCGAGAGGTTGAGAAATCGTAGAAGCACATTATGTGTAGAATAATATTGTGTTACGTGTATAAATTGTCATTAAGTTTCATTGATTAACTCTTTGATGGGGTTTAAGGGTTTAATACACTTCGCGAAGTTGTCATTAAACTTAGTTCTTTGATGGTATTTAAATACTAATAATGCATTATTATTTAAGCCCTCATTAAGATCTCAATGGCCATGAAACGTAGAGACGGTTATTTTTTTTTAGTGGAGAAACCTGATGTTAAGTGATAACAGCCGCCCATGGACATTTCCAACAGCCGTATGGTTGAAAATGCGTCGCCACCTTTAAATAAAGTGGGCCCCAGTTACCTTACTCACCAGTCAAAATGAACTTGTTGTTCTGTCATCTCGCCTTTCACCTGTTTTATTATACTTGATTTGGTAATTATATTGCCAGTGGTCCCCGCACTAGGCTTTGTCCGTATCACAAGGATATAGATAATAATTACATCACATATTTTACAAAATTTTCTACATTACGTCTTTCATGTAACACGTTTTGGTTATTTATCTAAAAACATCACATTTTTTATTACACAATATTATATAATTTACTTTTATGATAACCCAATATTATATCACACTCGTCTCAATATTACATAATACAAATGTTACTTCTTACATATTAGAATTCTTTTATAATATCTTTATAGGGATCTAACACCACGGGCTCCTTGCTAACTTCTTTTTGCAATAAGAAACGATATTAAAAAACCAGACGTGGGTCGTTCTTCCAATGTACGCATCCAATTATTCAGAATTAGTTATGCGTAAAAAAGTCTAGGTTTCTAATAGAACACTAATGGACTGTTTCAATACCGTTATGCTGTCACCTATATCTCAATAATAAAGAATGAAAGGTAAAAAAGTGAAAAAGTTAATGGCAAATGGCTTTTTTTTTTTTTTTTTTTTTTTTTTTTTTCAAAGTCAAATATCTTTATTCAATATAGAAGCATTCACTTACTTATTGATAGTCAAAAAACTCTACCACCGGTTCGGAAGGTAAGCCACTGACCTATTATTTGAACAATTTCATGTAGATAACATTTGATCTTTCCAGATGAACTCTGGAAGCTTAGTAGGACCCCACACATTAAGGACGATGACGCGGTGAAACTGGACCGGGCGGTTTCCAACTACAGCCTTCAGGACACCGCCTTTGTGTTCTTCAATAACACAGAGAACACATGCAGAGTCAGCGGAGGCAGTTCCTTGGATCCTTCCGCAGTGATAATGTCGTCAGCAATGGCTGCAGCGATATTGAGACGTCTGTACTAGTCGTCTGTCTACTATTCGTCCAGCAAAATACCAATAGACTTCAGTAACTTCATTTGAAATTATGTATGTGAGCAATCGCTACGACTATTGAACTAAGTTACAATCTATTGTATTGCATAATTAGGCATAATAACTTACATGTTTAATAATTAGTTTATGATAAGAACGGGCTTAAAACTAATATTAATGAAACTAATATAATTTATTTTGTCGGTTAGATAAATTCCTTTCACATTTTAACCGAAAAATACTAATTAAAATGCGTACTAGGTTAAATATCGAAATAAATATGATATAATTATATGTGATATGAAAGAGTTGATTAAATTTCGTTTATTCTATAAATGAAAAAATTCGAAACAGTATTAATGTTAGCTTTATATAATTATGTAAAAACTAGAGCGAGAATAAGTTGAAAAAGTATTATAATGTTTACTTATGCTTTAAGTATTAATTTTGAGGTGAACAACTACCTTATGTCATCGATAGAAAATAGTTAATTGCCAAAAAAACTTTTGTTTATAAAGGTGAATATAATAGAAATAAATTTGCTTAAATTAAGCATTTATGTTATCTCTTTAATATAATTTATTTCTACATCTTAAAATCCTTTACATTTAATGGATGAATAATTTTGAACAGTTGTACGGAATACTGATTCAAGAGTAAATTTGTAATGTTGCATAAATTCAACATAATTATTATTTGCTCAATAAATGTAAAGGCCAATGTAACGCATAAAATTTGAATACACGCCGCTTAATTATTCTAACGACGCACTATAGGAAAATTGGGAGCTATTTTATAATCATAATTCTATTCTTGGAATGGCTTTTGAAGGACAGTTTAAAAACGCTGATCAACTTATATGAAAAAAAAAAAATGTATTACTAGAGCCGAGTATAGTGGAGAAATTTATTTTCATTCAAATTAGAGCCGCGATTTAAAATTATTATTGGGAGTCATTGACATATCTCAGATTTAATATGAAAGAAACATAATTTATTCGTAGCTTGGGCCATATAGTAGGCTAATTAAGTGGTCCGATTGGGTCACTAAATGGTCATACATATTCAGTAATTTTTAGCAATCGGTCAATTCTTTAACACTACCTTAAATGCAACTAGAGAGAGTTAAAAATTCTGAAGTCATCGGAAATATATTCGCCGCTAAAATTAATTCTAGAGTTCGGATTTAAAATTCTTTCAGTTGGTCTCAAAATAGTAACGAATTAACATAGCGTTCGTTTCGTTGATCGGCCCTTTATACTGACATCGATCTTACATCGATTTAATCTTATACGGATAATCTTAAGTTAATACCATAAGGGCGTAACATACAATTTTACGAGATAAAGCGATTAATTAACAATCTTGACAACTAAACGAGGCTGTTGATAGCGCTAATATGCCCGTAAATGGCCAACATTTGACTTTTATTTAAGCTTTCTTTTTCTTCGTTACCGACTTATGGAGGCTAATAAAGAAAAAAACCTGTCAAATGCGAGTCGAACTCGTAATCCGAGGGTTCCGTACCTAGCCTTTCTACCGCCACAATAAAATTGATAAATAATCACCATCGATTTTCTCAGGAACCCTTTTACGACCACTCTCTTCTCCTTCTATCTGTCTTTGTGTTATCATCGATTTTCTCAGGAATGGGTGGATCAAGCACGTTAAAATTTATACCAGACACTTTCGATCAAAAACCTATAGGGTACTTCCGGTTGACCTAGATTGTCAATTTATAGGTCTTATAGCATAAGTAAAGGAAAATTTCCAAAAAATAAAATGTTGAAAATTAAGGTAAATTTTGGTACTCACAAGTTTCCGCGAAAATCTAAGTTTGCCCATATCTTTTCATCGTATTGACTCAGTACCTTGAGTTTTATATACGTAATAGAGACTATACACCTCAATATCTGTAACACACAGACAGATAGACGGAGAAGAGAGTGATCGTATAAGGGTTCCTTTCTTTTTAATTTTAAGGTACGGAACCCTAAAAAAGTCCCTGATCAAGAGAAAAAAGTGCGGATTAGACTCGCGCACGAAGGGTTCCGTACCATTTTGTATTATAACCACAAAAAAATCATGCCCCATTCAAATATCTCTTATTCTGTAAAATCAGAATAAACTAAAATTCTAAAAATATTATTTTTTATTATAGCGGCAACAGGAAATCTGTGAAAATTTCAACTGTCTAACTTTCACGGTTCAAGAGATACAGCCTGGTGACAGTCGGACAGGCAGACAGCGGAGTCTTAGCAATAGGGTGCCGTTTACCCTTTGGGTATGGAACCCTAGACGTCTGTCTATAGTCTGGTTATATATATAATCACATACACAAACACTACACGCCAACACACCGTAAAATACGTTGGTATATGCACAAATTCTAGACAGAAAAAGTAAAAAAAAAGACCGAAGATTTTTATTTCAATATATTATACAAAATTTTCCTCGCTACGGTTCATTAGTCTTTTGGGTTGTGTAAGTTTTTCACATTGAACGTGCAAAATCCGACGACAGTGCAGAATCTCGGCTTCCATGCAGTTTATTTAAACCGTTTAATTCAATAGGAATTCAGCTATTTACAAATTGAAGTATTTGATTTTTGTCTTGTCAGCATGGTAGGTCCTCCCGGCAGTTGCTGCGGATAGGCTGGCTCATCGGAGGCCTTAAACCTTAAATTATAGAATTCTCGGTTTGTCCTGTGAGAGCGGTATCTGTGGGCGACTTTTTTAAAACTTGGCATCTGTTAACGCTGTCACTTAATATTTGGTGAACCGTCTGTACGTTTGTAACCGCAATAAAAAAGGCTAGGGAAGCAAATCTTCGTAACAGTTTGCGAATGAACAAATTCACATTCAAATATCTTTATCAATATAGAAGCATTACACTTACCAATTGATTGTCAAATCACTACCAGCGCATCGATTCAGAAAAGAAAAAGACCTGGGAAGGACCAGCGGTAGAAACACAGTGGGATTTTTCTTTACCAATATTTAACAAAGAAACATATTCACAATGTATTAGAAGTCTGTAACGTAAGTAATTTACCTTCAGGTGACTCCCTCAATTGTTTGTGACCTTCTGTTATAAAAAAGTAGACAGAAGCGTTTAAGTTTTCGGGTGGTGGAATGAAAGCATATCCTACACTTTATACATGTAGTCGGATTGAAGAAAATTGTATAGATGCCATACCAAGTCCAAGTCAAAACTTCCTTATTCAATATAGGCTTAGTTGAATTTGATTTTAAAAAAATACCACCAGTTACTGAACTAGACCTCACCTGAGAAGAACCGGCAAGAAACACTAGATACATGAATGCCATATCATTCACCTTCCATCAGATAGGAAGTTATTTCTGAGTAACTGCGTTCTCTAATTTGCAAAATAAAATAATATATGCTAATGCTCTCATCATTAACATTTTTTAAGAAGAAAACTTTAAGCCTAAGAAAAAAAGAAAATAATACATATATAGACTAGGTTCGAAGGTGCTCGGATTTAGGTGATGGTCCTGATTGTCCCGCTAAGCGGACTTCGTAAGGACTCTCTATCTCCCTCCCAGTCACATTGCAGATATATAACTTATAAGATTATTTTTTTTTAATTAATGGAAGTTCGACTTTAAGTTTAAGATGTGAATTAGACTTCCTAATGAAAATATTTGATATGCTTAAAAAGCTGTAAAAATTTACATACCTAATTTGCTAAAAGGTTGTAATGACTAATTATATACCTGGCTTTTGATCGCAAATGTATATGTAAATAGTTTTTTCCTCAATTTATTCATGAAACTAGACAGTTCAGTGGTATATTCAAATCTTTCAACGAATCAAGGTCTAATGAACAGTTAAATGTTTTTTGCGCTTGCATAAAAACTAAACTCACGCTTAATTTGTCACAACAATTCCATTCATAAAGCGATAAAAATGTTTTTTTTTTCATACCTAACGACTACAACGTAATTACATAATGTATGAGTAAATTTTCTTATTTATTGATTAAATATCATGTTTGCTAATGTGAATCTTTTAATTTATTCTTCAACCATTTCGTACATCTGGATTTTGTAGATCAATTAAGTACATGCCTTCAGACCAAGACTAATTACGTACTACTCATAATTTAAAAATTATAACTTTTTAAATTTCTCTGCAGTCTTCATTCTAAGGTCATCTGTAAGTTCTCATTAATGATAGTACAAAGGAATTTTCATTTTTCAGTTTTAAATAATATTAAGTACTAGCGACCCGCCCTGGCTTCGCACGGGTGCAATGTATTATACATATAAACCTTCCTCTTGAATCACTCGTATCTAGTAAGATCCGCATCAAGATCCGTTGCGTAGTTTTAAAGATCTAAGCATACATAGGGACAGACAGGCAGCGGGACGACTTTGTTTTAAACTATGTAGTGATGCACAGCAGAGACGTTCAAATTTCAAGTGACATTTTACCATAGTCACTCACTTGTTTTGTCTTTCCGGAACCCCTCCACTAGCACATAAACTTTGTGATATGGTATTAAAGATCAAATTGACTTTTAAGTATATTTTTTCTTTCTCAACTCGAATCTTTAGTACGGGAATATAGAAAGGTGTTGTTTTTGGACTTCTTCAGGAAATTTTTTAAATTTTTCTCTCCGTAAGAACCATCCTCGTACTTCAAGTAATATTATAAAAAAAAAATTGGCGAAATCGGTTCAGCTATTCCCGAGATTTGCGCTTAGCAACACATTCAGCGATTCATTCTTATATATAGAAATTTTCTTAATTTAACTTTTACTTTTTAATCTTTAGAAATTTTCGTAATTAGATGTTGAAGATAGATTAAATGTTAAAGATATTTTTATTATGGTTACAAGGTACCTAATAAACGTACTCAAACATTTTTATAAATGTATTCGGATAAAAATATATAGACAGTTTTAATACAGACTTTTCTTGTGTCAGGGATCCTATTGTACCGAGATTCGAGCATGTTTAT